TCTTGTGGATTTCAATGGCTTCTCTGTGTAGTCTGACATGGTGGTTGTGAGAGTGGTCCAGCATTTCTGTGTTCTCAAATAACAGTATTTTCTGTTGGTTATGAGGGTTCTGTGTGGGAAGTTTGACCCAATTCTATCCTCGGTGGGGTTCAGAATGCTCTTTGATTGTAGGTGAACTATAAATGCTAGCAAGTACAACTTCCAAATGACAAGATCAATCCCCTCCCAACCACACCAGTGTTTCACATTTGGGCATATTTAGTATTTGTGCCAAGTTTGGTCCAGATCCATCATTGTTTGAGTCCACAGTGCTCTCTGGATGTAGATGAACTACAACTCCAAAACTCAGGTCAATGCCCACCAAACCCTTCTAGTGTTTTCTGTTGGTCATGGGAGTTCTGTGTGCCAAGTTTGGTTAAATTCCATCATTGGTGGAGTTCAGAATGCTCTTTAATTGTAGGCGGACTATAAATACCAGCAACAACAACTCACAAATGTCAAGGTCTATTTTCCCCAAACTCCACCAGTGTTCACATTTGGACACATTGAGTATTTGTGCCAAGTTTGGTCCAGATCCATCATTGTTTCAGTCTCTGGATGTAGGTGAACTACAACTCCAAAACTCAATGTCAATGCCCACCGAACCCTTCTGGTATTTTCTGCTGGTCATGGGAGTTCTGTGGGCCAAGTTTGGTTCAATTCCCCATTGGTTGAGCTCAGAATGCTCTTTGATTGTAGGCGAACTATAAATCCCAGCAACGACAACTCCCAAATGTCAAGGTCTATTTTCCCAAACTCCACTAGTGTTCATTTTTAGGCGTATCGGGTATTTGTGCCAAATTTGGTCCTGTAAATGAAAATACATCCTGCATATCAGACACTTGGGCATATGGAGTATTTGTGCCAAGTTTGGTCCAGATCCCTCACTGTTTGAATCCACAGTGCTCTCTGCATGTAGGAGAACTACAACTCTAAAGCTCAAGGTCAATGCCCACCAAACCTTTCCAGTATTTTCTGTTGGTCATGGGAGTTCTGTGGGCCAAGTTTGGTTCAATTCCATCATTGGTGGAGTTCAGAATGCTCTTTGATTGTTGGTGAACTATTAATCCCAACAACTCCCAAATGTCAAGGTCTATTTGCCCAAACTCCACCAGTGTTTCACATTTGGGCATATTTAGTATTTGTGCCAAGTTTGTTCCAGATCCATCATTGTGTGAGTCCACAGTGCTCTCTGGATGTAGGTGAACTACAACTCCAAAATTAAAGGTCAGTGTCCACCAAACCCTTCCAGTATTTTCTGTTGGTTGTGGGACTTCTGTGGGCCAAGTTTGGTTCAAATCCTCGTTGGTCGAGTTCAGAAGGCTCTTTGATTGTAGGCGAACTATAAATCCCAGCAACTACAACTCCCAAATGTCAAAGTCTATTTTCCCAAACTCCACCAGTGTTTCACATTTGGGCATATTGAGTATTCATGCCAATTTTGGTCCAGTTCCATCAACTGAGTATTCGTGCCAATTTTGGTCCAGTTCCATCAATGTTTGAGTCCACAGTGCTCTCTGGATGTAGGTGAACTACAACTCCACACCTCAAGGTCAATGCCCACCAAACCCTTCCAGTATTTTCTGTTGGTCATGGGACTTCTGTGGGCCAAGTTTGGTTCAATTCCATCATTGGTGGAGTTCAGAATGCTCTTTTGATTGTAGGTTAACTATAAATCCTAGCAACTACAATTCCCAAATGACAAAATCAACATCCCCCCCCCCCCCCCCCCCCCCCCCCACACACACACACACCCAAACCCCATCAGCATTCAAATTTGGGTGTATTGGAGATTTGGTTGTTGTAGGTTTTTTCGGGCTGTATGGCCATGGTCTAGAGGCATTCTCTCCTGACGTTTCGCCTGCATCTATGGTAAGCATCCTCAGAGGTAGTGAGGGGATTGGAGATTTGTGCCAAATTTGGTCCAGTGAATGAAAATACATCCTGCATATTGGATATTTACATGATTCATAACAGTAGCAAAATTACAGGTAGCAATGGAAGGTAGTTATGGTTGGGGGTCACCACCACATGAGGAACTGTATCAAGGAGTTGCAGCATTAGGAAGGCTGAGAACCACTGCTCTGTATCAAGGGAAAGGGACCTTTGGCCCTCCAGAAGGTCTAGGATGCAGTATCCCTCATCCCTTGCCATTCAAAGCATGCCTCTCCCTTATTCTGCACCCAGAGCTGTCCTTTGTAGCACTGCACATTCCTCTGTATGGAAGGAGCTTTTATCAGTCTCAGAACTTGCAAGCTCTTATGCAAACCAAGCAGGTCTTTACAACACCAGTCACTTAGCAACTGTGTCTGGGGCTTTGCAAAATAAATCACGAAAACAGAGCATTTGCAAAAACTGCAGTAGAAAAACAAGGGAAATGGAGCCTTTCCAAAAAATGCAGCCGAGCTTAAAAGCCTGTTCTGCTGTCACTGAAGATGGATTTAGAAGGGCAAAGGTGTTGCCATCCAGACATTCGGCTGCCTTAAAACGGGGAAACAAAGCCATTGCTGCTCTCATCCATCACCCTAGAGCAATGGTTCTCAACCTTCCTCATGCCGTGACCCCTTAATACATGTTGTGGTGACCCCCAACCATAACATTATTTTCGTTGCTACTTCATAACTGTAATTTTGCTACTGTTATGAATCATAATGTAAATATCTGATATGCAGGATGTATTTTCATTCATTGGGCCAAGTTTGGCACAAATAATCAAGACGCCCAAAGTCGAATACTGGTTTTGATTTTGTCATTTGGGAGTTGTAGTTGCTGGGATTTATAGTTCACCTACAATCAAAGAGCAATTTGAACTCTACCAAGAATGGAATTGAACCAATCTTGGCACACAGCACCCCCATGACCAACAGACAATACTGGAAGGGACTGGTGAGCATTGATTATGTTTTCTTGTCCTGGTGAAGGGAGTTGGGCTAGATGGCCTTCGGGCAGCATTTCTCAACCTGGGAGTCAGAACCCCTGGGGTGGGGGTCACGTGGGGGTGTCAGAAGGGTCGCCAAAGACCACCAGAAAACACAGTATTTTCTTTTGGTCATGGGTGTTCTCTGTGAGAAGTTTGGTCCAATTCTGTCGTTGGTGGGGTTCAGAATGCTCTTTGATTGTAGGTGAACCATACATCCCAGTAACAACTACTCCCAAATGTCAAGGTTTATTTCCCCCAAACTCCATCTGTGTTCATATTTGGGCATATTGAGTATTCATACCAAGTCTGGTCTAGATCCTTCATAATTTGAGTCCACAGTGCTATCTGGATGTAGGTGAACTACAACTCCCAAACTCAAGGTCATTGCCCACCAAACCCTTCTAATGTTTTCTGTTGGTCATGGGAGTCCTGGTGTGTCAAGTTTGAGTCAATTCAATCATTGGTGGGGTTCAGAATGCTCTTTGATTGTAGGTGATTGTTGTTTCAGCAACTACAACTCCCAAATGACAAAATCAATTTTTTTTAGTGATGGCCACTCACTGTGTCCAAATTTGGTGTCAATTAGTCCAGTGGTTTTTGAGTTATGTTAATCCCACAAACTAACTTTACATTTTTATTTATATAGACTAGTTGTCCCATGCCATGTGTTGCTGTGGCCCAATCTGTGTATATGTGTTTTGCGTATGTATATGTGTGTTTGTGTATGTATGTATATATATGTATATGTGTGTATGTGTATGTATATATATATATATATATATATATATATATATATATATATATATATAGTTTTGTGCATGCGTTGTAATGTATTTTTTATTTTTTTGGCTTTTTAAGTCTCTTCTGCTGTGTTTTTCAGTGTTTTATGAGTGGTGGTCACTCATTGGCCTGACAGGTGTGTTGTGTCCAAATTTGGTGTCAATTCGCCCAGTGGTTTTTGAGTTATGTTCATCCCACAAACGAACATTACATTTTTATTTATATAGATTCTATATTATTATTATTTTATTTATATTATTATATATTTATTATTATATTATTCTATGTTGTTGTTGTTGTTGTTGTTATTATTATTATTATTATTATTATATTTCTATGACCTTCTGCACATGCTCAGGAACAGTAGTCTAGCTTTGCAGTGCTGGATTTCTAATTATTATTATTATATATATATATATATATATATATATATATATATATATGTGTGTGTGTGTGTGTGTGTCTTTTAAGTCCCTTCTGCTGTGTTTTCCAGTATTTTTATGAGTGATGGTCACTCGTTGGCCTGAGAGGTGTATTGTGTCCAAATTTGGTGTCAATTCGCCCAGTGGTTTTTGAGTTATGTTCATCCCACAAACTAACATTATATTTTTATTTGTATACACTAGATGTACCTGCCATGCGTTGCTGTGGTCAACCTTCCCTCTTTCTCTCCTTTCCCTCCTTCTTTCATTCTCCTTCCTTCCTTCCTTCCTTCTCTCTTTCCTTCCTTTCCCCTTTTTCTTTCTCTTCTGCTGTCTCTCTTTTCTTCCTTCTTCTTCTTCTTTCCTTCGCTCCCTTTCTCTACATCTTCCTCCCTCTTTCCTTCCTTCTTTCCCTTTCCTTCTCTCCTTCCTTCCTTCTCTAACTTTTCTTCCTTCCCTTTTTCTTTCCCTCCCTCTTTCTCTCCTTTCTTCCTTCTCTACCTCTTTCCTTCCTTCCTTCTCTTTGCTTCCATGCTTCCTTCTCCCTTTCCTTCTTTCCTTCCCTCTCTCTTTCTCTCCTTCCCTCCCTCTTTCTTTTCTTTTTCTTTCTTTCTTTTTTTCTCCCCTTCCCTCCCTCTTTCTTCCCTTTTTTCTGTATTGTCATTTAGCTTTTTGGGGCTTTTTAAGTTCCTTCTGCTGTGTTTTTTTAGTGTTTTTATGAGTGAAGGACACACATTGGGTTGTTAGGTGTCTTGTGTCCAAATTTGGTGTCAATTCGCCCAGTGGTTTTTGAGTTCTGTTCATCCCACAAGCAAACATTATATTTTTATTTATATAGATTTGTGATTTTCAGAGGGAATGTCCTATTTGTCTCCGAATGTTCTTATGAATGTTACTCAGCTCCTCTCAGAGGAGATTCACAAAGCGATTCCGACACATGGAGACGACTCTGCTAGGAAAGCCTTCACTGGGAGTGTCCATCTTTACAAAGTAGCCCTTTGTCCTCTCGGGGACAGAGGAAAGCTGTTTGAACGCAGCCCTCCATAGAGGCAACAAGGTTCCGAAAAGCAGCCAGCCCTTCAAGCTGGAGATCTCCGAGCCACGGCTTGGACATCAGTAGCAGTCTGCTTCGTTCTCTTCTACGTGCCCTGAGGCCGAGAGGATGTCCTGCAAGAGGGACTGGGGGCTCTGCTCCAAGTGATCGCTACTGAGATCCAGAGATCTTTCCAAGGCCTCCAGGTCCATTGACTTTAAAACTGTGGGTAGGGACTCAGGATCCCGTAGAAATTGCTCACAAGACTCCCCAATGGTATGGATCAATGAAGAAGGAGATGCATCCCCGGGCAATTCCTCGGGCCGAGCTCCCCCGTTCTGTTCTAAGCTCTTCTCCCGTTCCGTGCAGCTGTCTTTACAAATCCTTGGTTTCACGGCAAGGAGGACTCGGCAGGCTTTCAGTGCAACCGGCCGGTCACAGTCCTGAAGGGCTCTGAACAGGAACTCAAACAGCTTCACTCTAGAGAAGATCTGCATCAGTTCGGGAAGGTGGGAAGGCACGCTGCCGGACGGCAAGCAATCGGTGGTGTACGGACACTTGGCAAGCCCAAACCGCGCAAACGTTTGGGCGGCAAAAGCCTCCGCCAGCTCCAGGCCGGAAACCTTGACTTCCCAGTCCAAGTCCCTGCTCACGGCTTGCATCACGTCGGAAACGAACGGCTCAGGGGCGGATAAGATGTCCGGGTGGCCCTCCCGTAGCCAGTCAATGAAGACGCCAATCACGGCTCTGCGAGGGAAGCCTTCGGTGTCCGTGGTCAAGATTTGCAGCAAGCGAGCGCCAACACCACCAGCCTTGAAGGCAACAGCAAAAAGAAACACGGAACATGAAAGTCATTTATTAGAGTCAGTTGGAGAAAAGCCTCAGTGTTAATTTGCCTCAGTGTGAGAGAGCCCTCAGTATGAGAAGGCCTCAGTGGGAGAAATGCCTCGGTGTGAGGTAGACCTCAGCGTGAGTAGGACTTGTGTGAGAAGCTTTGGTGAGAGAAGCCCCAGGTTGAAGGCTACTAGAATAGAATCCTACAGTTGGAAGGGACCTCATGGGCTATCCAGTCCAACCCCATTCAGTTAAGAAACAGGAAAATTGGACTCAAAGCACCCCCGACAGATGGCTATCCAGCCTCTGTTTAAAAGCTTCCAAAGAAGGAGCCTCTACCACACTCCAGGGTAGAGAGTTCCACTGCTGAACAGCTCGCAGAGTCAGGAAGTTCTTCCTAATATGCTTTCTTGTACTTTGAAGCCATTGTTCTGCATCTTAGTCTTCAGGGCAGCAGAAAACAAGTTCACTCCCTCCTCCCTGTGACTTCCTCTCACATATTTATACGATCATCAGATGATCGTGCCATTACTGCTCAAGCAGGGAGCTTTGAGATGGTTGAACAGAAGCTCTCTGAAGCTCTAGGTGCTCTTACTGCCTACTACAGGGAAAACCAGCTGATCCCTAATCCATCTAAAACACAGACATGTGCCTTTCATCTGAAGAACAGACAAGCATCCCGAGCTCTGAGGATCACCTGGGAAGGAATCCCACTGGAGCATTGCAGCGCACCCAAATACCTGGGAGTCACTCTGGACCGTGCTCTGACCTACAAGAAGCACTGCCTGAACATCAAGCAAAAAGTGGGTGCTAGAAACAATATCATACGAAAGCTGACTGGCACAACCTGGGGATCACAACCAGACACAGTGAAGACATCTGCCCTTGCGCTTTGCTACTTTGCTGCTGAGTATGCATGCCCAGTGTGGAACACATCTCACCATACTAAAACAGTGGATGTGGCTCTTAATGAGACATGCCGCATTATCATGGGGTGCCTGCGCCCTATACCACTGGAGAAATTACACTGCTTAGCCGGTATTGCCCCACCTGACATCTGCCGGGAAGTAGCAGCCAATAGTGAAAGGACCAACGCAGTGACATCTCCAGCTCATCCCCTGTTTGGGCATAGCAGCACGTCAACGACTTAAATCAAGACATAGCTTTCTAAGATCTACAGAGGCACTCGCTGGAACACCTCAGCAAGTGAGAGTCCAAAAGTGGCAGGCTCAAACCCAGAACCTCAATCCATGGCTGATACCAAATGAAAGGCTCCCTCCTGGGCACACAGAAGATTGGATGACTTGGAAGGCGCTGAACAGACTGCGCTCCGGCACCACGAGATGCAGAGCCAACCTTCAGAAATGGGGCTACAGGGTGGAATCCTCGGCATGCGAGTGCGGAGAAGAACAAACCACTGACCACCTGCTGCAATGCACCCTGAGCCCTGCCACATGCACAATGGAGGACCTCCTTGCGGCAACCCCAGAGGCACTCCAAGTGGCCAGATACTGGTCAAAGGACATTTAACCAAATACCAAATTTGCAAAATCTCTGTGTTTTTTTTCCTCCTTTTTCTTTTTAATCTGTGTGTTTGTTTTGCTCTGTTAGAATTGTAATACAATGGTTGCTGATACGATAAATAAATAAAGTTGGAGAAAAGCCTCAGTGTTAATTTGCCTCAGTGTGAGAGAGCCCTCAGTATGAGAAGGTCTCAGTGTGAGAAGGTCTCAGTGGGAGAAAGGCCTCGGTGTGAGGTAGGACTTTTGTGAAAAGCTTTGATGAGAGAAGCCCCAGGTTGAAGTCTACTAGAATAATAGAATCCTACCATTGGAAGGGACCTCATGGACCATCCAGTCCAACCCCATTCTGCCAAAAAGCAGGAAAATTGCATTCAAAGCACGCCCGACAGATGGCCATCTAGCCTCTACTTAAAAGCCTCCAAAGAAGGAGCCTCTACCACACTCCGGTGCAGAGAGTTCCACTGCTGAACAGCCCTCACAGTCAGGAAGTTCTTCCTAATCTCCTTTCTTGTAGTTTGAAGCCATTGTTCTGCATCCTAGTCTTCAGGGAAGCAGAAAATAAGTTCACTCCCTCCTCCCTGTGACTTCCTCTCGCATATTTATACATGCACCTCATCATGTCTCCTCTCAGTCTTCTCTTCTGCAGGCTAAACATGCCCAGCTCTTTAAGCCACTCCTCACAGGGCTTGTTCTCCAGACCCTTTATCACTTTAGTCGCCCTCCTCTGGACACATTCCAGCTTGTCAATATCTCTCTTGAATTGTGGTGCCCAGAATTGGACACAGTATTCCAGGTGTGGTCTAACCAAGACAGAATAGAGCATGGGGAGCATGACTTCCATGGGTCTAGGCACTAGACTCCTATTGATGCAGGCCAAAATCCCATTGGCTTTTTTTGTTGCCGCATCACATTGTTGGCTCAGTGTAACTTGTTGTCCATGAGGACTCCAAGATCATTTCTCACACGTTATTGTTTCTCATCTCTCTCTAGTCTAGATCTCTCTAATCTAGTCTAACTGACATCCACAAGATGAATACCCGGTGGCGCAATGGGTTAAACCCTTGTGCTGGCAGGACTGCTGAACTAAAGGTCGGTGGTTCAAATCTGGGGGGTGGGGTGAGCTCCCATCTGTCAGCTCCAGCTTCTGATGTGGGGACATGAGAGCCTCCCACAGGGTGGTAACATATCCGGGCGTCCCCTGGGCAATGTCCTTGCAGGCGGCCAATTCTCTCACACCAGAAGCGACTTGCAGTTTCTCAAGTTGCTCCTGACGTGGAAAACAAAAATCTACAAGATGGTTTCCTATCTGCTAAGGTCAACGTTCTGCGTGCGGAGCTGTATGCAGCCATAGAGAAATATTGACACATGGGAGGGCCTAATTGGCAGACTTGAGGGAATTCCAATCCTGTAAAGAAGACAGGAGAGGAAACTACCGTATATACCTGAGTATAAGCCGACCCGAATATAAGCCGAGGCACGTAATTTTACCACAAACAACTGGGAAAATGTATTGACTCGAGTATAAGCCAATAATAAATAGAGTAAAATAATAAATGTTATAATAACAATAAAGAGAAAAATAATAAATGTAATAATAATAATAAATAGAGTAAAATAATAAAAGCAATAAAATAATACTAATAACAGAGTAAAATAATAAATAACATTGACTTGAGTATAAGCCGAGGGGAGATTTTTCAGCCTAAAAAAGGGGCTGAAAAACTAGGCTTATACTCAAGTATATACAGTAAATGGGATCCCTCTCCTCACTCTTCCTGTGAAGCCCCAAAGTTGACTGGCTGCGGGAATAAGAAAAATATAAGTATGAGAGATGGGGATGGAACACTATCCTGGAAAAAAGTGTGGCTAGCTAATAGGCATGTGCAATCCATCAAAACAATGGTTCTGAACTGTGTTCAAAAGTAGGGGGCACTGGCACTTCTTTTCTAAAGTTCTTCCCAAATTTTGGGAGCAAAAGTTTCGGAACTCTAACGAATCTTACAAATCTTAATGGCAGTCGTGACTGTGCAATAGGGAAAACATCAATGGCAGTGCGGAAACTTTAGGGACTCCTCTCTCACTCACTCACTTTTTGAGCTATCCTGATGAAACTTGCTACAGTGGTAGAACACATTTGCAACTGTTAGCCCACCAAATTTCATGACGTTTGAGTTATATATGGATTTTTAAAGTTGAGAGACATCCAAATGTTACAGGATCTCCTTGTCCAAGATAACAGGGAATCATTCCCCCCAATACTAATACAGCTACAAATTTAAGGGATTTTTTCAAGTTTTCAGAAAAAGGAACCGTTTAGGGGGAGGCAAGTCAAGACCTTGGAAAAGTCAAGAACGGTGGTTGAAAAAGTAGCTGCAGGACAAAATGTCCACTCAGACAAATACTGTACCTCTTTGCAATCCCCACTGCCATGTGAGTCAACGGCGACCATGAGGGAAAACTGCCCCAAGGCCTTCACAGCACTTGCTCGGACGTAGCTCTCCGGGTCGTCGAGGAGGCTCTCTGCAAGAGCTGGCACCTCACACGAGAGCAGCGCTTCCCAGAACCACTGCTGCCCTGCAGAGAGGAGACACAGGCTTACACATATTGCTCCATCCTATTTGTTGCTACTCAGGGTAGTTTTCACCTTGCTCCCAAACACCACCACATCAAAGCTGTAGATTTTGTAGTTTATTAAAGAAAAGGCAAAGTCAAAACATAGTATAAGAAAAGCAAAGTTCCAAAAAGGCTTAAATGCAAAGACACAGTTCCCAAGATCCAAAGGCAAACACATGAAGCATAATCCTTTAAACAATGGTCAAACAATAGTCCATGAAAATAGTTGAACACAAGAACCCAAAATCCCAGACTCAGGAAGCCAGAAGCGTGCTGCTTAAAACCAAGGCTAATCCATAGACGTTAGCATGGAAAGAGCCACGTTGAACTGACAACGCCCGTGTGTCAGTGAGAAGGCTAAATACCCTTTGCAATCATGAACGCATTGCGATGACCCTTGGCCGACTTGGCCTCTCGCTTACTAGCTAAGCGAGAACTTCTCCAGACCCTTAATTGCAGGCGATCTTGCCTGTTCATTAATTCATTATCTTCAAGGCTCTCTAATCCCTTATCTTGGGTTACCAGCTGGGCTGGATCATCGTGGGAAGGCAAAGGAGGCGAAGACATCTCCACCTGGCAGTGTGGGAATTTACTCCCATTATCAGTCTCACCACTGACATTCTTTTCCCGAGAACTGACTTGTTGTTTCCCCTTCTGCAGCCTCACCTTCAACCCTGTCTGAGTGAACAGAAATCTGCAACCCATCATCCTCCTCATCAGGGAACTCTGGCTCACAAGACCCACAGGGTTCAGCTTCAGACTCAGAGTCAAACTGAGTCACAACACCATTCCACACCTATGCTTTCCTTTATAGGGGGAGAGCACTGTAGAAACTTGGGGGCATGTTTTCACCCCTATGGATTGTCAGAAATATTAAAAATTAACTAGGTATTTTTAAATAAAAAAATGAGTCAAGCACTGAAAAGGTTAAATGGATGCAATGACTCAGCAAAAGCTGCAGCTCTATATAAGCAGGTGCGCCTGTAGCTTAGTAGGCCTCTGTGTTAGTTTGCCTCAGTGGGAGAAAGGCCTCAGTCTGTGAGAAAGTTTCTGAGAGAAGGACCTCAGTGCGTTAGTAGGCCTCAATGTTAGTTCACCTTTGTGGGAGAAAGGCTGTCAGTCTGAGGGAGCCCTCAGTGTTAGCAGCCCTCAATCTGCGAGAGGTCTCAGTGGGAGAAAGGCCTCAGTGTGAGTAGGCCTGGTGCATGAGAAGCTTCGGTGACGGAATCCTCAGGTTGTAGGCCATTGTGTGTGAAGGCTGCTGTGTGTAAAAAGCTACTGTGAGTCAAGCACTGAAAGGGTTAACACACTGAGGCCTACTAACACACTGAGGCCTACTAACACACTGAGGTCCTTCTCTCAGAGACGCAATGACTCAGCAAAAGCTGCAGTTCTATATAAGCAGGTGTGCCTGTACCTTGGTAGGCCTCTGTGTTAGTTTGCCTCAGTGGGAGAAAGGCCTCAGTCTGTGAGAAAGTCTCTGAGAGAAGGACCTCGATGTGTTAGTAGGTCTCAGTGTTAAATAAATAAATAAATAAAAGTGTTAGTTCACCTTTGTGGGAGAAAGGCTGTCGGTTTGAGGGAGCCCTCAGTGTTAGCAGCCCTCAATCTGTGAGAGGTCTCAGTGGGAGAAGAGCCTCAGTTTGTTAGTAGGCCTGGTGCATGAGAAGCTTCGGTGAGGGAATCCTCAGGTTGCAATGGCCATTGTGTATGAAGGCTGCTGTGTGTAAATATCTACTGTGAGTCAAGCACTGAAAGGGTTAAATGGATGCAATGATGCAGCAAAAGCTGCAGTTCTATATAAGCAGGTGTGCCTGTACCTTAGTAGGCTTCTGTGTTAGTTTGCCTCAGTGGGAGAAAGGTCTCAGTCTGTGAGAAAGTCTCTGTGGGAGAAGGACCTCTGTGTGTTAGTAGGCTTCAGTGTGTTAGGAGGCCTCAATGTGTTAGTAGGTGTCAGAGTTAGTTCACCTCTGTGGGAGAAAGGCTGTCATTATGAGGGAGCCCTCAGTGTTAGCAGCCCTCGGTTTTTGAGAGAGCTCAGTGGGAGAAGGGCCTCAGTGTGCGAGTAGGCCTCGGTGTGAGTAGACCTGGTGTGTGGGAAGCTTTGGTGAGAGAATCCTCAGGTTGAAGGCGATTGTGTGTGAACGCTTGTGTGCGTAAAAAGCTACTGTGAGTCAAGCACTGAAAGAGTTAAATGGATGCAATGACTCAGAAAAGCTGGCGTTCTATATAAGCAGGTGTGCCTGTAGCTTGGTAGCCCTCAGTCTGTGAGAGGTCTCAGTGGGAGAAGGACCTCAGTGTGCTAGTAGGTCTCAGTGTTAAATCGCCTTTGTGGGGAAAACGCCTCAGTCTGAGAGAGCCCTAATGTGAGGGGGCCTCAGTGGGAGAAAGGCCTCAGTGTGAGGTAGGCTTCAGTGGTAGTAGTCAATCTGTCTGAGGGAGCCCTCAGTGTTAGTAGCCCTCCGTCTGTGAGAGGTCTCAGTGAGAGAAGGCTTCAGTGTGTTAGCATTCCTCAGTGTTAAATCGCCTTTGTAGGAAAAACGCCTCAGTCTGAGAGAGCCCTAATGTGAGAGGGCCTCAGTGGGAGAAAGGCCTCAGTGGGAGGTAGGCTTCAGTGGTAGTAGTCAGTCTTTCTGAGGGAGCCCTCACTCTGTGAGATGTCTCAGTGAGAGAAGGCTGCAGTGTGTTAGCATGCCTCAGTGTTAAGTCACCTTTGTGGGGAAAACGCCTCAGTCTGAGAGAGCCCTAATGTGAGAGGGCCTCAGCGTGAGGTAGGCCTCAGTGTGAGGTAGGCTTCAGTGGTAGTAGGCTTCAGTGGTAGTAGGCCTGGTGTGTGAGAAGCTTCAGTGAGAGAAGCCCCAGGTTGAAGGCCATTATGGGTGAAGGCTGCTGTTGTAAAAAGCTACTGTGTGAAGCTTCTGTGTAACTTTGTTGTGAGAAGAGGCTCTGTGAGAGCGAAGCTGTTTATCTGCATGAGAAAGGAGCCCAGAGTGGAAGCAAAGAAGGAAGTATAAAGAACTTTGTTCGTGTTATGGAAACCTTGTTCTTGTAAATAGTGTAACCATATTATTTTGGTATAAATAAAAGCCTCCTATGGAAGAGATAACATTGGTCTGTGTGTTTTTGTTCTTTTTATCACTTTGGGCTACTGGTGCTGGGCCATGCTGCAGCTAATAAGTTACTCTACTGTACATTTATGAGGAGATCATAGAATCAAAGAGTTGGAAGAGACCTCATGGGCCATCCAGTCCAACCCCCTGCCAGGAAGCAGGAATATTGCATTCAAATCACCCCTGACAGGTGGCCATCCAGCCTCTGCTTAAAAGCTCCCAAAGAAGGAGCCTCCACCATGCTCTGGGGCAGAGAGTTCCACTGCTGAACGGCTCTCACAGTCAGGAAGTTTTTCCTCGTGTTCAGATGGAATCTCCTTTCTTGTAGTTTGAAGCCATTGTCCGCGTCCTAGTCTCCAGGAAGCAGAAAACAAGCTTGCTCCCTCCTCCCTGTGGCTTCCTCTCACATATTTATACATGGCTATCATATCTCCTCTCAGCCTTCTCTTCTTCAGGCTAAACATGCCCAGCTCCTTAATCCGCTCCTCATAGGGCTTGTTCTCCAGACCCTTGATCATTTTAGTCGCCCTCCTCTGGACACATTCCAGCTTGTCAATATCTCTCTTGAATTGTGGTGCCCAGAATTGGACACAATATTCCAGGTGTGGTCTAACCAAGGCAGAATAGAGGGGTAGCATTACTTCCCTGGATCTAGAAACTATGCTCCTATTGATGCAGGCCAAAATCCCATTGGCTTTTTTTGCCGCCACATCACATTGTTGGCTCATGTTTAACTTGTTGTCCACGAGGACTCCAAGATCTTTTTCACACGTACTGCTCTCGAGCCAGGCATTGTCCCCCATTCTGTATCTTTGCATTTCGTTTTTTCTGCCTAAGTGGAGTATCTTGCATTTGTCACTGTTGAACATAATTTTGTTAGTTTTGGCCAATCATCTCTCTAATCTGTCAAGATCGTTTTGAATTCTGCTCCTGTCCTCTGGAGTATTGGCTCTCCCTCCCAATTTGGTATCGTCTGCAAACTTGATGATCCTTTCTTCTAGCCCTTCATCTTTATTAATGACTTAGATGAAGGGAGAGAAGGCAGGATCATCAAGTTTGCAGATGACATCAAATTGGGAGGTCTTTTGTTAATAAGCCCACTCGCCCAACATGGTTGACTGTCAGATTCTGAAATCTGCTCCCAAATGATGTCACTTCCAGTTTCCATTTTTGGCCAATACATACATATACACACATATTGCAAGTCATGCACCACTTATTTGCCACTTTTAGATGGCTCTAAAAGTGGCAATTATCCCATTTGGGGTGTTTTGCACTACCTCAAATAGGAGTGCATGGAAAACCTCCCTATGTGGTCCACGTGTTCCCTCCCTGCTCTAGAGACAGAGAGCCTCACCCTTCTCTTCAAACAAAAGCCGGACTTTGAGAGATACTGGCCTATTCAGCAAATCCTGAGAGCGGATGTTGGCAAGCGCACAGTGGCTGATGAGACAAATATTCAGCATCTCCAAACCCTCCAATCCCAGGGCAAAGGCAGGAATGTGCTCAAGGAAATCCTTCTGCAGAAATATTCCTGGTATGTAAACAAGGACAAGCCAATCATTCTGGAGAAGGTTCTCCAACTATTGCCGCCTTTGTGTTTTGAACTGCAGCTCCCATCAGCCCCAGCTAACATGGCCAGTGATGAAGGATCGTGGGAAATGAAGTCCAAAGCACCAGCAAGGGACCAAGTTGGGAGAAGCTGTTGTAGAAATTCATGAGAAGGGTATGGTAGGGAAAGCCATCTCTCTCACGCGCTCTCTGAATCATAGACGGACTTCCTTTCAGCACAGAAGTCTTGCTTAGCCCTTCCAAGCCACTTGGCTGTGGTTCCCTTCCAGCCGTGTGTTTACCTTTCAAGTCCTTCATCACCAATGTGAGGAACTCCAAGGCCGAGTCACGCACTTCCCAGCTGGGGCTGCACATGCGTTTTTGTAACACAGCAAAAATATCTGCAGAAAAGGATAGATGCAGGCGACGAGAGAGAATTTTAGAAGCAATCTGTTCCAGCCCCTTCTTAATGCAGACACAACTGGTCCTACTGATAAAAAAGAAATACCGTATATACTCGAGTACAAGCCGACACGAATATAAGCCTCGGCACCTAATTATACCACAAAAAAACTGGAAAAACGTATTGACTCGAGTCTAAACCTAGGGTGGGAAATGCAGCAGTTAGGGGTCAATTTCAAAATAAATATATACCAATAAAATGATATTAATTGAGGCATCAGTAGGTTAAATGGTTTTGAATATTTACATAAAACTGTAATTTCAGATAAGACTAACTCTGATTAAACTCTGATTATTCTAACCTTCTTCAATGAAAATGTGCTTAGGTATCCTTCCAATAATAATAAGGAGAGTAAAATAATAAATGTAATAATAATAGAGTAAAATAATCAAAATGCAATAGTAACAGTAACAATAGAGTAAAATAATACAAATAATAAATGTAATAACAGTAATAATTGAGTAAAATAATACATGTAATAATAATAGAGTAAAATAATACATGTAATAATAATAGAGTAAAATAATAACTGTAATAATAATAGAGTAAAATAATATATTATAATAATAATAGAGTAAAATAATCAATGTAATATTAGCAATAATGTAGCAAAATAAATTTATTTATTTACTATATTTGTATACCACCCCTCTCAGCTCTCAGGCAGTTAACAGAGGCAACAATTCAGATCCCAACAACAGCATCAAACATTTAAAAACACTGACATATAATATAAAACCATAACAAGATCAATTAAAAAAAATAATATGTCTCTTAATTAAAAAACCCTGTAACAACAATAATAAATAGAGTAAAATAATATATATAATAGAGTAAAATAATAAATGTAATAATAAAAGAGTAAAATAATAAACGTAATAAAAATAATGACAGAGTAAAATAATGAATAAAATAATAATAGAGTAAAATAATAAATAAAATAATAATAGAATAAGATAATGTAAATATAATAACAACAATAAAAGAGTAAAATAAATGTAATGATAATAGAGTAAAATAATAAATGTAATAATAATAGAGTAAAATAATGTGAATGTAATAATAATAATAAAGAATAAAATAATAAATGTAATAAAATAATATTAGAGTAAAATAATGTAAATGTAATAATAACAATAATAGAGTAAAATAAATGTAATAATGATAGAGTAAAATAATAATAGAGTAAAATAATGTGGCTGTAATAATAATGATAATAATAATAATAAATAGAGTAAAATAATAAATGTAATTAAAATAATAATAACAGAGTAAAATAATAAATAACCTTGACTTGAGTATAAGCCAAGAGGGGCATTTTCAGCCGAAAAAAGGGCTGAAAAACTCAGCTTATACTCAAGTAAATATATACTTGAGTATATATATATACAAGGTCTACTGATGAATTTGCTGGGTTATAGTTAATAGATCTGCATTGGGGGGAGGGGAGGGAGAGAGATATGTTTGTCAGCCCATCAGCTATACATCTGCTTCCTTTAATGGTGACCTAGTTTATCATTCTTTAGCTATGAGAGCGATACCTCTGAAAAGTTGCTGATGCCGTTGGAAGTCAGCAGTCGATCCGTGTGGCTCCAAGGTGTTCAGAACCCACTTCAGTGTTGCCTGAAAGGTCTTCTTCAGAACCTGCGGGGGAAATAAAGGGGGACCCTCAAAATCTGTGATGGAATCATATACAAAACCATAAAGGGAGGAAAACAGTTTGCCTTTCTGCACTCTCACTGGCATGATGTCTGCCCAGAAGCTTCCCTCAGTATTCAAGGCTCCTTTGGTGATGGAGAACAAGATGGCAGCTAGGAAGCACAACATCCCCTTCTGCATCAGGGTTGGGGCAAAATATAGACTGCTAAAAGGGAAAATACACCAGGCATGGGCAAACTTTGGCCCTCCAGGTGTTTTGGACTTCAACTCCCACAATTCCTAACAGCCAGTAGGCTGTTAGGAATTGTGAGAGTTGAAGTCCAAAACTCCTGGAGGGCCAAAGTTTGCCCATGCCTGGAATAAACTCTGCAGTGGGACTAGGGAGTCATGAACGACTCTCAATTCCCATGAGTTAATCTAGCTGGAAACAATGAGAAATTAGCTTTAAAATGGGAGCTGATATTTAGAAAGGAAGACAAATGTTGACTTTAAGGTAGCCGCAAAGGGCCACCACTGCACGAACTAGCCCAGAAGGGCCTTGCCATCACCCTTCTCAAAGCCACCATGGCACCAACAGTCCCAGGAGGGCCTCACCATTGCCCACCTTGATGCCGCCGTGATACCAATGGGCCCTGGAGGTACCTGCCATTGCCCTCCTCAAGGCCATCACAACACCAATGGGCCCAGGAGGGCCTCACTATTGCCCTCCTCATGTCCTCCTAGGCACCAACTTGCCCAGAAGGGCCTCACCATCACCCTGCTCAAGGCCACCATGGCACCAATGAGCCAAGGAGAGTCCTGCCATTGTCCTCCTTGAGGCTGCCGTGACGTCAACGGGCCAAGGAGGCCCTCATCAGTGCTCTCCTTGAGGCCTCTGTGACACCAACAGGCCCAGGAGTGCCCTGCCATTGCCGTTCTTGAGGCCACTATGACACCAAGGGGCCCAGGAGGGCCTCGCCTTCGCCCTCCTCCAAGCCACCATGGCACCAACAGGCCCAGGAAGGTCTCACCATTGCCTTCTTTCAAGCCGCTGCATCAACAGCAGGTCCAGGAGGGCCCCGCCATTACCCTTCTCCAGGCCGCCACAACACCAACTCGCCCAGGAAGGCCTCACCATTGCCTTCTTTCAAACCGCTGCAGCAGCAACAGGCCTAGCAGGGCCCCACCATCACTCTTCTCCAGGCCGCCACAACACCAACAGGCCCAGAAGAGCCTTGCCATCACCCTCCTCAAGACCACCACAGCACCAACAGGTCCAAGAGGGCCTTGCCATCACCCTCCTCAAGGCCGTCGCGACACCAACAGGTCCAGGAAGGCCTCACCATCACCCTCCTCAAGGCGGTTGCGACACCAACACGCCCAGGAAGGCCTCACCATTGCTTTCTTTCAAGCCGTTGCATCACCAACAGGCCCAGGAAGACCTCGCCATCACCCTCCTCAAGGCCACCACAACACCAACAGGCCTGGGAGGGCCCTGCCATCACCCCCATCCAGGCCACCACATTTTGGCAATGAGTGCTTGCCACTTTTGTCTGAAAACCACCCAGAGAGAGGAGATAGAGTGGTATGTAAATAAAGTACAATAATAATACTAGTAATAGTAATGATATTTCTCAATGATGCGACTCCTGCATATACTCACAGTAGGGCTGGTATCTGGACTCTTCAAGTAGACAAGAAGGATGTCAAAGACCTGGTCGATGTCTTCATCACAAACTGAGGCTAAACATACAGAGAACAACAGCCAGGAATTAGAACTCTATTTTTATTATTACATTTAGATGATTTTACTCTGGTATGTGAGTAGATCAATAGGTACTGCTCCAGTAGGAAGGTAACGGCAGTCCATGCAATCATGCTGGCCACATGACCTTGAAGGTGTCTATGGATAATGCCGGCTCTTTGGCTTAGAAATGGAGAGGAGCACCAATCCTCAGAGTCGGACATGACTAGACTTAGTGTCAGGGGAAAACCTTTACTTTATTCTGTTGTTGTTATTATTATTATTATTATTACATTTATTATTTTACTCTATTCTTGTTAATTATTACATTATTTTATTCTATTTATTATTGTTATTATTACATTTATTATTCTACTCTTTTGTTATTACATTTACATTATTTTATTCTTAACTAGCTTGGGAACCCGGCGCTGCCCGGGTTCTTTGAGAAAGGCATTGTGTGTCAAGGTTGGTCTTTATCAGTTATTTATGTGGCTCGCAGTGCTCTCAGGGAGTTAGTGAAGGTACTGCAAGTCCCATCGTCCATGGTCTATCCTCCTCCAAATTGCACCAGGTTGTAGAGTGAGTCATGAGTGCTATGTGTGCCAAGTTTGGTCTTGATCAGTCATTGGGTGAGAGTTGTAGTGCTCTTGGGAAATGAGTGGAGGTACTTCAAGTCCCATCATTCATGGTCCATCCTCCTCCAAACTGCAGTAGGATGTAAAATGGTCATGGGTGCTCTGTGTGCCAAGTTTGGTCTTTATTGGTCATTTTTGGGAGCCTCACTGGTCTCTGGGAACCGAAGTGTTGGAAAGTACTACAAATCCCATAATACATTGTTCACCCTCCCCCAAATCTCACCAGGATGTAAAAGGGGTCATGGGGGTTATGTGTGCCAATTTTGGTCTTGTTCTGTCGTTGGATGAGGGTCACGGCGGTATCAGAAAGCGAGTGGAGGTACATCAACTCCCATCATCCATGGTCTGCCCTCCTCCAAACCGCAATAGGATGTAGAATGGGTCATGTGGGCTCAGTGTGCCAAGTTTGGTCTTTATTGGGCCCTTGTTGGGGGGCACAGTGGTCCCTGAGAACCACAACCATTTGAAAGTACTACAGATCCCATAATCCATGGTCCACCTCCCCCAAACCGCACCAGGATGTAATGGGGTTCATGGGGGTTATGTGTGCCAAGTTTGGTCCAGGTGTGTCACCCGTGTTGGTCACAGTGGCCTGTGAAAGTGGCAGCCAATCAGAAAGCTGCCACATACACTTCTGCCCTTCCGCCCTCCGCATACAAACAAACATTCACTTTTATTATATAGATAGATAGATGTCAGGGGAAAACCTTTCCTTCACCTTACGACCTGAAGTACTAACTTGGGTGGACGTGTCTAAAACATATATGTGTGTGTGTGCAGCCAGGGAGGGAAACAAATGACTTACTTGCCCACTGAGAGAGTGCCGCAAGGAGCCCAAGGGCTGCCCGCTGAACCCGGAAGCAACCAATCAGGGTCTTGCCCAACGTGGCTCCCACAGCAGAGACAGGGACAGCAAGGCCCACACAGAACTGCAGCACCGTCACCAAGGAGCGCAGCAAAGGCTTGTGGGGAACGTCCACTGGGGTGGAAGACTGGCAAAGAAGACACAAACAAAGAATGTATATGGGCGGTTCAGGTCCAGGCTGTTTGGCCAACCGCATCCCCTTGTACAAACCTGAGATCCCACCTCCATCTCAAGCCCAGTTGGTGGGAATGAGAGAGCGGTGTTAGGAATTGTGGGAGTTGAAGTCCAAAACACCTGGAGGGCCGAAGTTGGCCCACGCTTGCTCTAGATCAGTGTTTCTCAACCTGGGGGTCGGGACCCCTGAGAGGGTCACAAGAAGGGTGTCAGAAGGGTCGCCAAAGGCCATCAGAAAACATAGTATTTTCTGTTGGTCATAGGAGTGTGGGAATTTTGGCCCAATTCTACCATTGGTAGGGTTCAGAATGCTCTTTGATTGTAGGTGAACTATAAATCCCAGCAACTACAACTCCCAAATGTCAAGGAGTTGTATTTTCCCCAAACTCCACCAGCATTCACATTTGAGCATATGGAATATTCGTGCCAAGTTTGGTCCAGATCCATCATTGTTTGAGTCCACAGTGCTCTCTGGATATAGGTGAACTACAACTCTCAAACTCAAGGTCAATGCCTATCAAACTCATCCTCTATTTTCTGTTGGTCATGGGGGTCCTGTATAGAATTGGTTCAATTCTATCTTTGGTGGAGTTCAGAATACTCTTTGATTGTAGGTGAACTATAAATCCCAGTAAGTACAACTACAACTGGGATGTCAAGGTCTATTTTCCCCAAACTCCACCAGCATTCACATTTGAGCATATGGAATATTCATGCCAAGTTTGGTCCAGATCCATCATTGTTTGAGTCCACAGTGCTCTCTGGATATAGGTGAACTACAACTCTCAAACTCAAGGTCAATGCCCATCAAACTCATCCTCTATTTTCTATTGGTCATGGGGGTCCTGTGTAGAATTGGTTCAATTCTATCTTTGGTGGAGTTCAGAATGCATTTGATTGTAGGTGAACTATAAATCGCAGCAACTACAACTCCCAAATGACAAAATCAACACCCCCCCCCCCCAACCCCACCAGTATTCAAATTTGGACGTACCGGGTATTTGTGTCAAATTTGGTCCAGTAAATAATATGCATATCAGATATTTACATTATGATTCATAACAGTTGCAAAATTGCAGTTATGAAGTAGCAACAGAAATAATTTTATAGTTGGGGGTCACCACGACATGAGGAACTTTATTCAGGGGTCGCAGCACTAGGAAGGTTGAGAACCACTGCTCTAGATACATAAAGCCATGGCCCATATCATCCCCAAAGGGATGGGTGAGCAATTCAATGCATTGGAGAGGAAGACTGCTCTACATCTCACCAAGCCCTGGATCTCCTCAAGGTGAGCCAAGGTCTGGCACAGGAGGCTGATGCATGATGCTCTGGAGGAGAGAAGGGGCTCCACTGAGGTGGCAGTACAGCGAGGAGGCCGATCCCACAAACCTGGTGGAATAGAGGTAAATGCACACGGTGGGTTCCCTTGCCCTTTCGCCACCTCACTTCTGACTTCTCACCCTTTCAACAGCTCTAAATGGTCAGCCATGGACAGCATTTGTAAACACTGGCTGCTCTCTTGACCATCCTCTTGCCTCTTTTCCCCTATATCTAGCTACTCAGCGCCACCTAGTGTTCAGTTTTGCATTTAAAAAATATATTCAGTTTGAGTTGCTGTGGGTTTTCTGGGCTGTCTGGCCATGTTCCCAGAAGCATTCTCTCCTGACGTTTCGCCCACATCTATGGCAGGCATCCTCAGAGGTTGTGAGTTCTGTTGGAAAATAGGAAAGTGGGGTTTCTGTACCTGTGGAATAATGTCCAGGGTATTTGTCGTGTCAGGGCAACCAGTCAATTATATTACATTTCTAACAGAGCAAAGCAAACAAACAGACAAAATACAAAATTTGTGAGTTTGGTAGTTGATTAAATTCCTTTGACCAGTATCTGGCCACTTGGAGTGCTTCTGGTGTTGCTGCAAGAAGGTCCTCCATGGTGCATGTGGCAGGGCTCAGGTTGCATTGCAGCAGGTGGTCAGTGGTTTGCTCTTCTCCACACTCGCATGTCGTGGATTCCACTTTGTGGCCCCATTTCTTGAGGTTGGCTCTGCATTTCGTGGTGCCAGAGCGCAGTCTGTTCAGCGCCTTCCAAGTCGCCCAGTCCTCTGTGTGCCCAGGGGGGAGTCTCTCATTTGGTATCAGCCATGGATTGAGGTTCTGGGTTTGAGCCTGCCACTTTTGGACTCTCGCTTGCTGAGGTGTTCCAGTGAGTGTCTCTGTAGATCTTAGGAAACTATTTCTTGATTTAAGTCGTTGACGTGCTGGCTGATACCTAAACAAGGGATGGGCTGGAGATGTCTCTGCCTTGGTCCTTTCACTATTGGCTGCAACTTCCCGGCGGATGTCAGGTGGTGCAATACCGACTAAGCAGTGTAATTTCTCCAGTGGTGTAGGGTGCAGACACCCCATGATAATGCAGCATGTCTCATTAAGGGCCACATCCACTGTTTTAGCGTGGTGAGATGTGTTCCACACTGGGCATGCGTACTCAGCAGCAGAGTTCTGGAGAGACTTATTTTGCATAAAATTATGGAAAAAATAGACCTCTGTCTGATTCCACAGCAAGCTGGCTTCAGGAAAGGCAAAAGCTGCACATTGCAAGTGCTGAACCTGACTCAGAACATAGAAGATGGCTTTGAAAGGCAGCAGATCACAGGAGCTGTCTTCATAGACCTGTCAGCAGCCTATGATACTGTGAACCACTGCCTCCTCCTGAGAAAAATGTATAACATCACAAAGGACGACCACCTCACCCGCCTCATAGAAAACCTGCTACAAAACAGGAGCTTTTTTGTTGAGTTCCAGGGCCAGAGAAGCAGATGGCAGAAACAGAAGCATGGCCTGCCTCAGGGGAGCGTGCTCGCTCCATCCATGTTCAACATCTACACAAATGACCAGCCACTGCCAGAAGGGACAGAGAGTTTCATCTATGCTGATGATCGTGCCATCACTGCTCAAGCAGGAAGCTTTGAGATGGTAGAACAGAAGCTCTCCGAAGTTGTAAGGAAAACCAGCTGATCCCCAACCCATCTAAATCACAGACATGTGCCTTTCATCTCAAGAACAGACAAGCATCCCGAGCTCTGAGGATGACCTGGGAAGGAATCCCACTGGAGCATTGCAGCACACCCAAATACCTGGGAGTCACTCTGGACCGTGCTCTGACCTACAAGAAGCACTGCCTGAACATCAAGCAAAAAGTGGGTGCGAGAAACAATATCATACGAAAGCTGACTGGCACAACCTGGGGATCACAGCCAGACACAGTGAAGACATCTGCCCTTGCGCTATGCTACTCTGCTGCTGAGTACGCATGCCCAGTGTGGATGTCCAGGGTGGGAGAAAAAGAAATCTTGTCTGTTGGAGGTAATAATAATAATAACAACACTTTGTTTATATTCCACCCATCTCACTTTGACGGGGACTCAGGGCGGATCACAGTACACATACACGGCAAACATTCAATGTCGCTTTGAATAGACAATACACAGACAGAGCAGAAGGAGGTGGTTTTGACTCAGTGCCCAGCTGTTTTGGTACCATGGAAAGTTGGGCTCAAGTCCACGAAGTGCTGTTGCTCTATCCTCTATGACGAAGAGCTGTCAGGACTTGCTCCTTCCGTTTGGTTACCCAGCATTTTCTGATCTTCTTTCTTTATGGCATTGTAAAACACCTCCCCTGCTTTTAGCGGTACCTAATTTCTCTAATCACAGCTGAAGCTGTTTTTTAACTGCTTAGGTAAACAATGAGCTAGGCTGACAGTTGGCAGCTCACGCCAACCCGGGGCTTCTAACTTGCAACCTTTTTTGGTTGACAGGTCTTATAATTGCTGATGATTTACCAGCTGTGCTAAACCTCCGGTAAGTGTGAATGTTGTAACTGGCCACCTTGATTAGCACTGAATAGCCTTGCAGCTTCAAAACCTGGCTGCTTCCTGCCTGGCGGAATCCTTTGTTGGGTGGTGATTAGCTATTCAATGCTAATCAAGGTGATCAATTGCAGCATTCACACCTACCTTTAACAAACAAGAGTTCTTTCTTCCACCCTGGGCATTATTCCACAGATATCTAAATCTCACTTGCCTAGTTTCCAACAAACCTCACAACCTCTGAGAATGCCTGCCATAGATGTGGGTGAAACGTCAGGAGAGAATGCTTCTGTAACATGGATAGACAGCCTGGAATACTCACAGCAACCCACTGATTCCAATCATGAAAGCCTTCGACAACATATTTTCAGTTTTTGGCAGTGAACAAGTCAAATTAGCTGGAGGAGAGGACTGTATAACACAAAATGCTTTTCTGATATGGCAGGAAAGAATTTGAAATGAGGGAAAAATCAAACTTTTTTCTCCAATTCTGTCATCTACAAAAGGAAGGAGTTCTCCTGCGATGTTTTTTGATGCATTTCCTCCACCCTGATCTTTTCAACTACAAATCCCATGGTCCCTCAGGTGCAACCATTTGTGTGTCTGTGAGATCCAATATAACTACACTGGGATACATTTGCGCCACACCACAAGTGTGTAGAGCCTTGACCTCATTTTCTAACTCTAGCATCTTACTTGGAAATTCCAAGGAGTAGGAAGCTGCTCTCGAGATGCAGTCCATTGACAGGAGAAGAGTGTTCAGCGCCTGCTTCTTAATAGCCTCTGGGCTTGAAAAGAAAAAAACAACAACATTAAGACTTCCCTGTTTTGGAAAAAACAGCATTCCTAACCTTTTGGAAAAGGAAAAATAATGTCATATCCTTTTGGCAAATGTGACTCTCTATGAACATCTGAAGGCCAACTTTTTAAAACCACTAGTCAAGGAAAGGCATGACCTTGCACCAGGATGGGTCAACTAAAATAGTTTTTAGTTTGCCAGTCCTATTTATGTGGCTCACCAGCCATTTGGCTTTTAAAAATAAACTTACCATGCTTCAAGTTTCAGGAGTCCTAAGGCCAGAGGGCCGGACTGAGTGGGGCTCAGGTTCTTCAGAGCAAGTGCCACCAGTTTCCAAAGGCTGCACTCCGGATTGCTAAAGGCAGGGGACCTATGAGATGGAGACAGGCCACTGTTATTAGATTTCCATTAGTGTATTATTTTTATTACACTTATTATTTTACTCTATTTTTATTGTTATCATTTATTATTTTACTCTATTATTAGATTTATTATTTTACTCTACTATTACAGTTATTATTACATTTCCATTAGTTTACTATTTTTATTCATTTTATTATATTTTATTGTTATCATTAATTTCCTCTATTATTACATTTATTATTTTACTCTACTATTACTGATATTACATTTCAATTAGTTTCCTCTATTATTTTTATTACATTTATTCTTTTACTCTATTTTTATTGTTATTATTTATTATTTCACTCTTTTATTATTACATTTTTATTTTACTCTATGATTATTGTTATTACATTTCCATTAGTTTACTCTATTATTTTTATCACATTTATTTTTTTACTCTATTATTCTTGGAAGGATCCTTAAGCACATTTACATTGAAGGAGGTTAGAATAATGGTTTAATCAGAGTTGGACAATCTTATCTTAAATTACAGTTTAATGTAAATATTCAAAAACATTTAACCTATGGATGCTTCAATTAATGTAATTTTAATTGGTATCTATTTTTTATTTTGAAATTTACCAGTAGCTCGTATTTATCAGCTTTAGATCCTTGTATCATTTGGTCTTCTCTTATTGCCTTCATTAATGAATAATTACTTATACTTGAGTCAAGCCATGTGGTAAAATCAGGTGCCTCTGCTCATATTCAGATCGGCTTATACTTGAGTATATACGGTAAGTGAGAGAGATGGAAATGGAATACTATCCTGGATAAAAGGGTGGTTAGTTCTTTTAAGTCTCAAGGTCCTAAGGTGGGCACTGCAGCACTACTTCCCCTATATATATACAAGGATCCTGCCAAGACATTTCCGGTGGTAAAGCAGGCACTGGCCTTGCCATGCTGAGGAAGAGATCCACCAGTGAGTGCCCAGCTTGGACAGGCTCCTCCGTCAAAAGGGACCCCACGGTCTCTGCCATCCGTGACCAGAGGACTTCCGTCCATGGGTCCTGGCTGTGTTCAAACAGTGTTGTCAAGAGCTTCAAGGAATGTGTGACGCGGGAAGCAGAGCGGGATTTCAGCGAATCCTCTGCGCGTGCTGCGATCATTCGCGCGCAAGCCGGCCAGTCGCAGTCCTTTGCGCAGAGCAGGCGAGAGGGTTCAGACTGGACAGAGAAGATGAGGAGACGGGCAAGAAGCCGGTTGGCTCCGGAAGCCACAAACAGACTGCGGTCTCCTTGAAGCGTGAAGATCACATCCAGGGCTCCTGGTTCAAGACAGAGAACAAGAAAGAATGCACTTGTCATTATTTCTATTATGAGGCAAGCCACAAGCGCAATACATTGGATCAATTAAAAAATGGAATGGTGACCAACTATAACTATATAATACAACATGCTCCCTTTGTTAAACATTCAGAGGAAAATTCAGACATTTTCTGTGGTACATCTGGCTCTTTTAGTATGCTGTCATAATAAAACTATATTATGTAACATGCCGCATTATCACAGGATGCCTATGCCCTACACCACTGAAGAAATTATACTGTTTAGCTGGTAATAATAATAATAATAATAAACTGTATTTATATCCCACCACCATCTCTCCAAAGCCCAAAGATACAATACAGCACAATAAAATACAGAATGCAGACAACAAAAAATTACATCAGAATAAAATACATACAGTAGCAAAATAAAATAAATAAAGCAAATTAACACAATATAAAATCGAACAGAATGGGCAGGCCAAATGGACGAGGTAAAATGATAAAAACCCTGGATGAGGTAGGAATAGAAAATATGCAATTGAGGGGAGGCCAAAAAGGATAAATAGTGGGATAAGGCTTTCAGTTTAGGACGAGGGAAAGTGCATCATAGGGGCAACACTATAGATGGAGCAAACAGAAATGGGATAAATGGTCACTCTCCAAAGGCACATCGGAAGAGTCAGGCTTTTAGTATTGCACCACCTGACATCTACCGGGAAGGAGCAGCCAATAATGAAAGGACCAAGGCAGTGACATCTCTGGCCCAGCCTTTGATCGGATATCAACCAGCAAGCCAATGCCTTAAATCAAGAAACAGCTGAGTCCTAATGCATCTAAAACAGAGACGTGTGCTTTTTCATCTTCAGGACAGACAAGCATCTCAAGCTCCAAGGATGATCTGGGAAGCAATCTCACTGGAGCATTGCAGCACACCAAAATACCTGGGAGACACTCTGGATTGTGGTCTGACTTACAAGAAGCACTGCTTGACTATGAAGTAATAACTGGGTGCTAGAAATAACATCATACGAAAGCTCACTGGCACAACATGGGGATCACAACCAGACACAGTGAAGACATCTGCCCTTGCACTTGACTACTCTGCTGCTGAATACACATGCCCAGTGTGGAACACAACACAACACATTAAAACAGTGGATGTGGCTCTTAATGAGACATGCTGCATTATCACAGGATGTCTAAGCCCAACACTGCTGGAGAAATTATACTGTTTAGCAGGTATCACACCACCTGACATCTGCCAGGAAGTAGCAGCCTGTAATGAAAGGACCAAGGCATTGAGATCTCCGGCCCATCCTATGTGCAGGTATCAGCCAGCATGCCAATGAATTAAATCATAGACACAGCTTCCTAAGATCTGCAGAGATACTCACAGGAACACCTCAGCAAGTGAGAGTCCAAAAGTGGTAGGCTAAAAAATGACCTGACCAAACCCTGCAAAAATGCCCTTGGAAGCACTTTATTTTACCTGCTAGTGCAATTAATCCCTATTTTCATCCCCCAGATCCCCTGTCCAGATACATTACATTCCTCTCTCACCCAGTGTTTTTAAACTTTTAATCTTTACAACCGGCCCTGCCCACTGTAATCAATTCTTTTTCTTTTTTGTGTTCAATTATTGTGATTTTATATTGTTAGAGGTGCTTATTTATATTGTTTCTTGTATTTTATTTATTTTATTTTTATTTTTTTCTTTATATTTTACTGTTGTATTCTTATGTTGTATATTTGTATTGCTGTATTGCTGGGCTTGGCCTCATGTAAGCCGCCCCGAGTCCCCTTGGGAGATGGTGGCAGGGTATAAATAAAGTATTATTATTATTATCATTAAAACCCAGAACCTTAATCAGTGGCTGATACCAAATGAGAGACACCCTCCTGAGCACAAAGAAAAGTGGATGACCTGGAAGGCGCTGAACAGACTGCGCTCTGGCACCACAAGTTGCAGAGCTAACCTTAAGAAATGGGGCCACAAAGTGGAGTCCACGACATGCGAGTGTGGAGGAGAGCAAACCACTGACCACCTGCTGCAATGCAACCTTAGCCCTGCCACATGCACAATGGAGGACCTTCTCACAGCAACACCAGAGGCACTCCAAGTGGCCAGTTTCTCGTCAGAAGACATTTAGCATAATGCCAAGTTTTTAACTTTGTTTGTGGCTTTTTTATACAACTGTATTCTCAATTCGCTTCTGACACAATAAATAAAATATTTTATAGAAAGCCAAAGAAAAGATCCTTGCCTCAAGAGAGCCTGCTGTTGATCATTTCACAGGGAAAGGAAACTGGAGACATACAAAAACACAGGAAATGGGAACAAGGAGTTTGGCAACAGGACCGGGAGAATAATGCAGCCATGGCAGTCAAGAAGTATATTTTGTCCTTCAGTTTTATAGGAAGCATCACTGCAGTGCTCTCAATAGCAGGCATGGTGGTATACATATAGTAAACAAAAAATGTGTCCAGCCACACTTGCCAGAGTTGCAGAGGAACTGGAAGGCGCTGTAGTGCTGCAGCATGGTGTAGACGCCCGTGACCCAGCCGCTCCGGATGGTCATGTCCTCCCACAAGGGACTGCCAAGAGCTCCCGCTTCTCCAAAGGCCCCAAAGACCACTTCCCCCTGCTGAATCAGGAGAACAGACACATTCTGAGCAGCATTTCTAAAGCAGAGTTGCCTCTCGTGGCTCCAGAAAAATACCTATCTCCACTGAAGATGCAGGCAGAGTTCATTGGAGTTCATGGCAGCATCATCAACAATGTCTTCATAGGCGTTCCAGATTACAACCAGATATTTTTATTTTCTCAGTGGAGATAAAACATTTGGTAGTTTATCACAGAATCCTAGATATTCTATAAATCATCCAGTCCAACCCCATTTCTGCCATTTGAACGCATAGATGTTCCCTCTTCCATATGAGTATAAGGGCAATAACGACAATTATTATATTTTAAAATCACACTCTACATTCATTATGTTTTAAGTTTTGTTTCAGGTATATTTAATATGTGGTTTTATAGATGTATTTTACCTATGTTGTGGCCTGCCTCGAGCCATGAGGAGAGGCAAGTAATAAATAAAAAAGATTATTAGTGTATATACTCAAGTATAAACTGAGTTTTTCAGTCCTTTTTTTAGGATGTAAAAGCCCCCCTCGGCTTATATTCGACTCAAGGTTAATTATTATTTTACTGTGTTGTTGTTGTTATTATTATTAAATTTATTACTTTTCTATTTATTATTATTACATTATTATTTTTCTCTATTATTATTACATTATCATTTTTCTCTATTATTGTTATTATTACATTTAGAACATTTTACTCTGTTAATATGTTTATTACATTCATGATCTTACTCTATTTATTATTACTACATTTATTATTTTTCTCTATTTATTATTGTTTTTATTACATTTATTATTCTACTCTATTTTTATTACTACATTTATTATTTACTCTATTATTGTTATTATTACATTTAGATTATTTTACTCTGGTATGTGATTAGATCAAAAGGTACCGCTCAGGCAGGAAGGTAATGGTGCTCCATGCAATCATGCCGGCCACATGACCTTGGAGGTGTCTATGGACAATGCCGGCTATTTGGATTAGAAATGAAGATGAACACCAATCCTCAGAGTTGGACATGACTGGACTTAATATTAGGGGAAACTTTTACTTTATTCTGTTATTATTATTACATTTATTATTTTACTCTATTCTTATTATTATTACATTTCTAATTTTATTCTATTTATTACTGTTATTATTACATTTATTATTCTACTCTATTGTTATTATTACATTTACATTATTTCATTTTATTATTATAATTATATTTATTATTTTACTCTATTATTATTACATTTATTATTTACTCTATTATTATTATTATTATTATTATTACATTTATTATTTTACTCCCTTTATTATTCTTGGAAGGATACGTAGGCACATTTACATTGAAGAAGGTTAGAATAATGGTTTAATCAGAGTTGGATAGTCTTATCATGAATTACAGTTTATGAAAATATAAAAAAAAAACATTTAACCTCCAGATGCCCCAATTAATGTAATTTTATTGGTATCTATTTTTATTTTGAAATTTACCAGTAGCTGATGCATTTTCCTCCCTTAGCTTATACAGCTCTGAGATTCCATTGCTTCCTTTGGCCTCCATAAGGTCTAATGCAAGGGTTTTACTTAGAAAAAAAAAATTCCTTATTCATCACCTCATTATTCAAAAAAAAGGTCTAATGCAGGGGCGAGATGCATAGATCCATGCAGGCTATAATTCCAAGCATTTCTGGCCATGCCAGGGACATTTGTTGGGAGCTGCAATCAGAACCTATCTGGAGGATTCCGTGATCTAAAGCATGTTACTTGACAGCTGAGAGTCTCATGATGCCAATCATGGACTTCCGTTGTGCAAACAGACCAAGAACACATAAAACTTTAGTTTCATCTCAAAACTGTCCAACAACACATTGCAAAGGAATGTTCTCCTGCAGAACAATGTCATCAGCAATGTGATCAAATACAAGCACCTCCAATCCAAAGCTTAACGTTGGCTACTAGTATTGTAGTACTGGCTCCATCTCAAAGCCCAACTGACCTGCAGGTGCTGGAAGCTGGTTTCAGAGGCAGCAAGGATCCCCGTCAGTCGCAGGACGAAGGAAAGGATGTTGGGGCTGGGCTCCTCTTGCCGAAGCACCGCAAGGATCATCTCAGTCAAGCATGGATTCTCCTCTAAGAGCAGGAGGCTGGAGCCTGAGAGAGGGAGCAAAGGACAAAGGCATCAAGAAGAGAGCCAATCCCTGTTACAAGTTTTATAGGCTGAAGCGCTGAGCTGCTGGACTTATTATTTTTCTCTATTTATTATTATTATTACATTATTATTTTTCACTATTTGTTATTATTACATGTATTATTTTACTCTATTTTTATTATAAAATTTATTATTTTACTCTATTATTGTTATTATTAAATTTAGATTATTTTACTCTTTTAGAATCCAGGGAGTGGGGTGAGCTCCTGCTGTTAGCCCCAGCTTCTGTCAACCTAGTAGTTCAAAAATGTGCAAATTTGAGATTAATAGGTATCGCTCTGGCGGGAAGGCAACGGCACTCCATGCAGTCATGCCAGTGGCCACATGCCCATTATATGCTAATCAAGGTGGTCAGTTGAAACATTCACACCTAGCTCCAGCAGACAAGAGTCCTTTGTCCCACCCTGGTCTTTCCACAGATATATAAACCCTTTTTTCCTACTTCCAACAGACCTTAGTACCTCTGAGGATGCTTGCCATAGATGCAGGCGAAACGTCAGGAGAGAATGCCTCTAGACCATGGCCATATAGCCCAAAAAAACCTACAACAACCCAGTGATTCTGGCCAGAAAAGCCTTCGACAATACATTGTTTATTGTTTGTGTTTTGGTTTTTCTTTATTGCAATTGTTATTTGGGCTTGGCCTCATGTAAGCCGCTCTGAGTCCCCATTGGGGAGATGGTGGTGAGGTATAAATAAAGATTATTATTATTATTATTATTATTATTATTATATTAATTGTATTTGTTGTTTACTGATGTGTTTTTTATTATATATTTTATTAATTTTTCACCAAAGGTTTACAATAAAACAATCATAAAATATTTCCACCAAAATACTACCACACGAATGAAAAAGAAAAGTAACCCACCACCCGACTAACACCGATGTCACAAACACAAAACACACCCACACCCTAGTGTGACTTCCGTTCTTCTTACTTAACTTGTTAACTTGAATTGATGTAATTTTGTGTATGATTATTCTGTGATGCAGGCATCAAATTGTGCCTTTGCTTCTGTAAGCCGCCCTGAGTCCCCTCCGGGGTGAGAAAGGCGGGGTATAAGAACCCCGAAATAAATAAATTAACCATAACCCATATTTCCTCCTTTCCTTTTCCTCTTTTCCCTATCTTCCATCATAGTTTGGTTACATACGGAGAAAAAGAACTATATAAATTACTTCTAACTCTCTTATTTAAGTTAACTTAAATAAGTCGCCCCGGGGCTGAGTCGCCCTGGGGCTGAGAGCGGCGGTCAACAAATGCAGTAAATGCAGTAACTTAACCAGTAATTCCTTTCTATATATTCTTGTAAGCCTTTCCAGTCTGTTGGTTTCATACCTCTTCCGTTATTTTGCCCTAACCAATATGTTAATTCATCCATATCCTTAATATCAATAATTTTCTCAATCCAATCCATTTTAGAAGGTATCTTGTCCTGTTTCCACAGTTTCGCAAATACCATTCTTGCAGCTGTAGCAAAGAAGGTAAATAGTCTTTCCTTATTCTTATCTTTAAATATGTCTGAGTCAAACATACCCATGTGATGTGTTCATAGAATCAAAGAGTTGGAAGAGACCTCATGGGCCATCCAGTCAGACCCCATTCTGCCAAGAAGCAAGAATATTGTATCCAAATCACCCCTGACAGATGGCCATCCAGCCCCTGTTGAAAAGCTTCCAAAGAAGGAGCCTCCACCACACTCCGGGGCAGAGAGTTCCACTGCTGAACGGCTCTCACAGTCAGGAAGTTCTTCCTCATGTTCAGATGGAATCTCCTCTCTTGTAGTTTGAAGCCATTGTTCCATTGCATCCTAATCTCCAGGGAAGCAGAAAACAAGCTTGCTCCCTCCTCCCTGTGGCTTCCTCTCACATTTATACATGGCTATCATATCTCCTCTCAGCCTTCTCTTCTTCAGGCTAAACATGCCCAGCTCCTTAAGCCGCTCCTCATAGGGCTTGTTCTCCAGACCCTTATCATTTTAGTCGCCCTCCTCTGGACACATTCCAGCTTGTCAATATCTCTCTTCAATTGTGGTGCCCAGAATTGGACACAATATTCCAGGTGTGGTCTAACCAAGGCAGAATAGAGGAGGTAGCATTACTTTCCTAGATCTAGACACTAGGCTCCTATTGATGCAGGCCAAAATAGTGCAGCTCAGTGTTGTTGGGCTTGGCTTCATGCAAGCCGCCCTGAGTCCCCTTGGGGAGTATTATTATTATTATTATTATTATTATTAAGGACTGGTGGAGTTTTTGGGGTTAACCTGGCATGTTGTGAGTTGTAGTTCACCCACAACTTTATGCATTTGGTACTATTTTTTTGAATGCCTTTTCCCAAAGCTAGTCAACCCATCCACCCTAGGCCTTTTCCTGGGGGTCTGCTGAGAGGCCGGCTCACCTGTGCGGGTCAAGGCCTGGAACCAGTCCAGCAGCTTCTCCAAGGAGGTGTCGTCCGAAAGAGGGCAGCCAGGGTCGGCCAGGACCGTGCAGACGGCCGGCAGCAGCTGGGAACACTGGGCCTCCATGGCGGGGAGATGTCCTTTGGAGAGGCCTTGTCAAACTCCCATGGCGGCTCAAGTGATAGCGAGCATGCGCAGTCGGCGCGAACGGAAGGACCGGAAGTTGTGGTCTCAAGAAGGGATAGGGCTCCTGCCACTGGCTCAGTCTGAGCATGCGCGGTGGCTCAGCGCGCGGTCTGAGCATGCGCAGGCCAACGCTCCCTATCCGCTCCTCGCTTTCTCAGCCTCTCGGGAGTCCATCCGGGTCCTCGACTGGCTGGTTGCCATGGCCGGTTGCCATGGAGCGCCTCAAAGCCGGAAGTGTGTGTTCCAGAGGGAGAGAGCGGCTCTGCGGCGAGGAGGGAGGCCATGTCTGAAGGCCACAGCCAGGCCGCCTCGGAGCCCGGGCCCCAGGGGGAACAGGTGCGGCCTTTGGAGACATGCCTGGGTTCTCTGGGAAAGGCAGTGTTTAATGTATTGTCGAAGGCTTTCATGGCCGGGATCACTGGGTTGTTGTAGGGTTTTCCGGGCTATATGGCCATGTTCTGGAGGCATTCTCTCCTGACGTTTCGCCTACAACTATGGCAAGCATCCTCAGAGGTAGTGAGGTCTGTTGGAAGTAGGAAAAATGGGTTTATATATCTGTGGAATGGCCGGAGTGGGGCAAAGGACTCTTGTCTGCTGGAGCTAGGTGTGAATGTTTCAGCTGATCACCTTGATTTGAATTCAATGGCCTGGAAGCGCCTGGGGGGAATCTCTTGTTGAGAGTGATTTCATGTGCCTGTTTGTTTCCCCTCTGTTAGAATCATAGAATCAAATCAAAGAGTTGGAAGAGACCTCCTGGGCCATCCAGTCCAACCTCCCAGAGATTCTCTTTTCCTTGTGTGCCTTGTCTTATTGATATTGTAAACCTGAGGGCATGGAACTATCAAATTAACAGTTTGTAAGCTGTTCTGAAAGACTTTGTGCCTGAAGACCAGAATATAAATACTCTACATCAATATATTAAAAATGATTGCAGGAGTATGAAACAGGGACACAGGATAGAATCATAGAATCGAAGAGTTGGAAGAGACCTCATGGGCCATCCAGTCCAACCCCATTCTGCCAAGAAGCAGGAATATTGCATTCAAATCACCCCTGACAGATGGCCATCCAGCCTCTGTTTAAAAGCTTCCAAAGAAGGAGCCTCCACCACACTCCGGGGCAGAGAGTTCCACTGCTGAGGCTCTCACAGTCAGGAAGTTCTTCCTCATGTTCAGATGGAATCTCCTCTCTTGTAGTTTGAAGCCATTGTTCCACGTCCTAGTCTCCAGGGAAGCAAAAAACAAGCTTGCTCCCTCCTCCCTGTGGCTTCCTCTCACATATTTATACATGGCTATCATATCCCCTCTCAGCCTTCTCTTCTTCAGGCTAAACATGCCCAGCTCCTTAAGCCGCTCCTCATAGGGCTTGTTCTCCAGACCCTTGATCATTTGATTCGCCCTCCTCTGGACACATTCCAGCTTGTCAATATCTCTCTTGAATTATGATGCCCAGAATGTTGTTTTGCTGTTCTAATTTTAGAGTTTTTTAATACTGGTAGCCAGATTTTGTTCATCTTCATGGTTTCTTCCTTTCTGTTGAAATTATCCACATGCTTGTGGATTTCAATGGCTTCTCTGTGTAGTCTGACATGGTGGTTGTGAGAGTGGTCCAGCATTTCTGTGTTCTTAAATAATATGCAGGTTGGTTCATCAGGTGCTCTGCTATGGCTGACTTCTCTGGTTGAAGTAGTCTGCAGTGCTTTTCATGTTCCTTGATTTGTGGTTGGGCAACGCTGCGTTTGGTGGTCCCTCTGTAGACTTGTCCACAGCTGCATGGTACATGGTAAACTCCTGCAGAGGTGAGAGGATTCCTCTTGTCCTTTGCTGAATGGAGCATTTGTTGGATTTTCTTAGTGGGTCTGTAGAAAGTGTGTATTTTGTGTTTCCCCATCAACTTCCCTATACGGTCAGTGGTTCCCTTGATGTCTGGCAAGGACACTTTTCCTCTGGGTGGGTCTTTGTCTTGACTCTCGTGGCTTCTTCTCGGTTGTCTTGCAGCTCTTCTGATGTCTGAGGTGGAGTATCCATTGGCCTGGAGAGCCCAGTTGAGGTGGTTCAGTTCATCTTGGAGGAGGTGGGCTTCGCAGATTCTTTTTGCACGGTCTGCCAAGGCTTTAATGGTGCTTCTTTTTTGACTTGGGTGATGGTTGGAGTTTTTGTGTAGATATCTATCTGTGTGTGTGGGTTTTCTGTAAACGGTGTGACCCAATTGTTGATCTGGTTTGCGGATGACTAGGACATCTAGAAAAGGCAGTCTTCCTTCATTTTCTTTTTCCATTGTGAATTGGATGTTTGGGTGGGTGCTGTTAAGATGTCCCAGGAACCTGATGAGTTCTTCTTCTCCGTGGCTCCAAATAGTGAAACAAACAGGCACATAAAATCACTCTCAACAAGAGATTCCCCTCAGGCGCTTCCAGGCCATTGAATGCAAATCAAGGTGATCAGCTGAAACATTCACATCTAGCCCCAGCAGACAAAAGTCCTTTGTCTCACCCTGGTCTTTCCACAGATATGTAAACCCATTTTTCTTACTTCCAACAGACCTCACTACCTCTGAGGATGCTTGCCATAGATGCAGGCGAAACGTCAGGAGAAAAATTGCCTCCAGAACATGGCCATATAGCCCGGAAAAACCTACAACAACCCAAGGCATTGTTTGTTTTTGGATTTGGGGTTATATTACTTTGGTCATTGGTAACGCTATTTCCTAGTTTTTCCTTTTTCTATTTATGAATGCCCCCATTAGAAAATTGATAAGGAGGTGCGTGAACTACAATTCCCAAAATTGTGGGCCAATCACTCCCAAAATAGCAAAATGTGCTGCAGGATGTCCCTCAAAAACAAAGTTTTTTGCAATTTAATAAACTTTTCCCATGTTTTTATGATGGAACCAATTAGGAAATGACATTTAATACCCAGGAACAAAAATCATGTAACATAGTGTAATAGATCATGAGAAATGTGCCCTCTCATCATTGGGCAATAGATCCAAGATAGGTTTAAAAAGTGACTGCTTCACGTGACACAGTACTAATATATAGAATTAACCATCCTAAGTTGTAGCAATAGTTCTTTGGACTCTGGTGACCTCCTTAAACTCTATTGGTGGGCTTTCCTCACAATAGCTAAATGGAACCATTGCAGCTCAGAATCCTTGGTTCTATTTCTTGTGGCAACCAGTTCAAGGAGGACATGAAAGTGAAGATTGTATGTTGTTACCACCTTCCCTTCCCCATCTCTGAGGTCTTTCCCAGTCACAGTTTTGTTCAAAGCTATCTATTGACCTTTTCTGTATGCTGGGTAGTTTTGAGCATGCCAGTGTTTGTGCTAAAATTGTGATCTTTTGGAAGTTGTTGAGCTCTGATTCCCTTCATCTCAATGCAAGCTGAACTTTGATGACCATCTGGCTCATTGACCACGTGAAACATTAGAATCACACAATGCCACCACTTCCCTCTTTTCTCCCTTGTTTCAGATCTATCTTTTCCATAGTTCTCTTTGTCTTGGCCAGCTTGACCTTTCCCATGGTTAGAAATATTGCTCGTATACTGTCAGCACGGCTGTCTACTCTCACCCTACCTATACAACCTTCATGTGCTTTTCATCTCAAGAACAGACAAGCATCCCGAGCTCTGAGGATCACCTGGGAAGAAATCCCACTGGAGCATTGCAGTGCACACAAATACCTGGGAGTCACTCTGGACCATGCTCTTACCTACAAGAAGCACTGCCTGAATATCAAGCAAAAAGTGGGTGCTAGAAACAATATCATACGAAAGCTGATTGGCACAATCTGGGGATCACAACCAGATACAGTGAAGACATCTGCCCTTGCGCTATTCTACTCTGCTGCTGAGTATGCATGCCCAGTGTGGAACACATCTCACCACGCTAAAACAGTGGATGTGGCTCTTAATGAGACATGCCGCATTATCACAGAGTGCCTGCGCCCTACACCACTGGAGAAATTACACTGTTTAGCTGGTATTGCACCACCTGACATCCGCCGTGAAAGGACCAAGGCAGTGACACCTCCAGCTCATCCCTTGTTTGAGTATCAGCCAGCACGTCAACGACTTAAATCAAGAAATAGTTTTCTAAGATCTACAGAGACACTCACTGGAACACTTTAGCAAGTGAGAGTCCAAAAGTGGCAGGCTCAAACCCAGAACCTCAATCAATGTCTGATACCAAATGAGAGACTCCCCCCTGGGCACACAGAAGACTGGGCGACTTGGAAGGCGCTGAACAGATTGTGCTCTGGCACTGCAAGATGCAGAGCCAAGCTCAAGAAATGGCGCTACAAAGTGGAATCCACGACATGTGAGTGTGGAGAAGAGCAAACCACAGATCACCTGCTGCAATGCAACCTGAGCCCCACCACATACACAATGGAGGACCTCCTTGTGGCAACACCAGTGGCACTCCAAATGGCCAGCTACTGGTCAAAGGACATTTAATCAACTACCAAGCTTGCAAACCCTGTTTTGTCTGTTTGTTAAAAATTTGTTAAAAATGTAATGCAATTGTCAGGTTGATACTAACATGATAAATAAATAATCTATTCAACCTGTATGAAGAGCACGTCATGCGACATGCAGGGCTTGATGAATCAAAGTCTGGAGTTAAAAATGCTGGAAGAAACATTAACAACCTTCGATATGCAGATAATACCACTTTGAGGGCTGAAATCAAGGAGGAGCTAAGGAGCCTTCTAACCAAGGTGAAAGAAGAAAGAGCTAAAGCTGGGTTGCAGATAAACATCCAAAAACAACCAAGATTCTGACAACCAGACTGGTGGATAACTGGCAAATAGAGGGAGAAAATGTGGAGGTAGTGACAGACTTTGTATTTCTAGGTGCAAAATTATCGCAGATGCAGACTGCAACCAGGAAATCAGGAGACGTTTCCTTCTTGGGAGGAGAGCAATGACCAATCTGGATAAAATAGTGAGGAGTAGAGACATTACACAAAGATCAACAGAGTTAAAGCAATGGTATTCCCCATAGTAACCTATGGACGTGAGAGCTGGACCATAAGGAAGTTTGAGCGAAGGAAGATAGACTCCTTTGAACTGTGGTGTTGGAGGAAAATTTTGAAAGTGCCTTGGACCACGAGAAGATCCAACCAGTCCATCCTCCAGAAAATAAAGCCCAACTGCTAACTGGAGGGAAATATCTTAGAGGCAAAGACGAAGTACTTTGGCTACATCATGAGAAGACAGGAAAGTTTGGAAAAGAGAAGGATGCTAGGGAAAATGGAAGCAAAAAGGAGGAGGGGCCGATCAAGGTCAAGGTGGGTGGATGGTATCCTTGAAGTGACTGGCTTGACCTTGAAGGAGCTGGGGGTGGCCACGGCCTACAGGGAGCTCTGGTCCAGGAGGTCACAAAGAGTCAGAAACAACTGAACAAACAAACAACAAAAATACTGTCATTTTGTGGTGTGTGAAATAATCTTGAACTATATAGGTCCAGGACTAGAATAGTCCCTCTTTCTTTTCCATCACTGTTCATTGAAATCTGTATCTTTTATACTTACCTCTTCCCGGTGGAAGAAACAAGCTGTTAGAAGTCTATGTGTTTGCTGCAGATATTTGCTCATTAATCTTAAAACTTTGTAGTTTGCTTGTTTCACAGTCTGATCACTAGCACAGCAAAACAAATTGGATAGGGAGATACAGACTCAGATCAGATGCCCGACAAATAAAAAAGGAACAATCTACCAATATGCTCTGAAGAATGTGACTTCAGGAAATTAAAAATTCTTTGTGGGCTGGACGTGACACATGCCCGGCTGCAAGCGAGGCATCATCAGACGGGGCTGATCTCTTATCACTTGGTGCACTTTCTTTCCTGCGATCCAGCTTTTAAAAGTATCTTCACCCTGCTTTCTGTGCTTTTCACTGAGAGGCAGATCTAGATCTCACAAGTCTGGACCAGGGTGAAAAGGACAGCGGAAATGAACCACTGGGGCTGTTCCTTAAAGGGTGACTTATTTGCAGTTAAAAGAAATAACTAACACTATACAATTTTTCAAGGAAATTAAAATCAAATTCTTTCTGGATGACACAAGGAAAGAACTGTTATCTCAATAGTATGTTGTGTAATGCATAATTCTGAAAGGAGGGAACAATAACTATGATTGGTTGTTTTTTAAAAAATAATTTTTATTTACATACAATAACAACTTACAGTATAAACAAAACACAAAACAGTAAACATTTTAAAAACATATAGCCCCACCACCAAGGCCTGAACAAGTATCATTTCCTTCACCATGTATTTACAAATCAACCATTAATCAAATGTTATATCCAAAATTCCTGACCCACAAAATTCTGTTGTTTTCCATTTTCGCTCTCCAAGGTATGATTGGTTGTAAAGGTAAAGGTGCCCCTGGTGGCGCAGTGGGTTAAACCCCTGTGCCGGCAGGACTGAAGACTGACAGGTCACAGGTTCGAATCCGGGGAGAGGCGGATGAGCTCCCTCTATCAGCTCCAGCTCCTCATGCGGGGACATGAGAGAAGCCTCCCACAAGGATGATAAAACATCAAATCATCCAGGCATCCCCTGGGCAACGTCCTTGCAGACGGCCAATTCTCTCACACCAGAAGTGACTTGCAGTTTCTCAAGTCGCTCCTGACATGGCAAAAAAAAAAAAAAGAAGAAGAAGAAGAAGAAAGAACGGGTAAAGGTTTTCCCCTGAAGTCCAGCCATGTCCGACTCTGGGAGTTAGTGCTCATCTCCATTTCTAAACCGAAGAGCCGGCGTTGTCCATAGACACCTTCAAGATCATGTGGCCAGCATGACTTTTCCACTGGAGTGGTACCTATTGATCTACTCACATTTTCATTATTTTTGAACTGCTAAGTTGGCAAACGCTGGGGTTAACAGTGGGAGCTCACGCTGCTCCCAGATTCGAATCTGCGACCTTTTGATCAGCAAGTTCAGCAGCTCAGCGGTTCAACCCACTGTGCCACCGGGGGCTTCTGATTGGCTGTACTAAGTACTGTATAGCCAGTAGTGAGAGTTGTAGTTTTAAAGCATCTGAAGGGCCACAGTTACCCTCATCAAAATTAACAAATCTCTCCTAAGAGGTTCATTGGAAGAGCTTTTGCCATTCACAGTGAGAATGCTGATGTACCAGAGATCTGGTGCAGATCTAGGGCAGTCTTATGTGCAAAGAATCCATGGAAATGTTGTTATAGCCTTGGCTTTTTTTGTCTTTTTAAAGTGTATCTTTGAAATTGTTTTACTATTGTCACAAGTTTGATTCTGTTTTCATGCCCGCCTTTTGTAGTGTGCTTTCTTTAAATTGTAAAATAACTTCAGTCGCAATTTTGGAGGAAAGACTAGTGGGAAGTAATTACGATAACATTTATATATTTCTTCCCCAGGAAGAGGAGAGTCTTTCTGCACGTACTTATGAGTCAGACACGGAACTGGTGAGTTGGACCAGGAATTATGATGGTTTTGAGTTATCTGGTGTTTCTACAGATTTCCAGTGTGTTTGGTCAATTCTCAGCGTCACTTACTACATAACCATAACATGAGAGAAGCCTCCCACAAGGATGATGAAACATCAAATCATCCGGGCGGCCCCTAGGCAACGTCCTTGCAGATGGCCAATTCTCTCATACCAGTTGCAGTTTCTCAGGTCGCCCCTGACACAACAAAAAACCAAACAACAAAAACCATAACAACAATGGAATTTTTGCTGTCTGCTTAGAAAAGTAGCTACTGTTTGCAAGTTCGTGTATAAATTGTATGTGAAAAATAAAAATGCAAAACAGTCTCTCTTTTTTTCAGAAATTGAAGAAGAAACCAGCTCGCATGTCACCCAGATCACCAAGTTAGTATGATCTAAATCTTTTAACATGGTATTCATTTCCTGAAACTACCGAACCTCAATGAGAAGTGAGATTCTTTGCCTGTTTTATTTCCCTTGCCTTAGAATCTCCGTATACCTCTACAACATGTTTCCACTCTGCAAGGGCTGAATTTTCGAGATCCTTTAAAGGCACCGAGAGAAAGAAAAGTGAAATCCCTTCGGCCAAGTCATCCGGGCAGCTGTGGCGTGGAACACTCAAGCAAGGTACCCGCATGCGAAATCAGCTCCTCTTTCCCTACGGTTCCTCTTGTCTTGATATTGTCTTGACAAATGTGGGAACAGGTGCCAAGTACCTCCACTCGATGGGCTGATAATATGAGAAGCTTATTTATTTATTTACAGCATTTATATGCTGCCCTTCTCACACCGAAGGGGACTCAGCGGATTACAAGATATATTTTCATACAATATATTATATTATTAGCATAGCACAATATCAGTATATTGCACTATACCATTATATTATAATATTATTAGTAATATTACATGTAATATAAATATATATAATATTATATTATTATTACTAGTGTTATATTGTATTACATTATATTATTATGAATATTATATGCATATACAATATACTATATTATGTTATTAGTAAAGACAAGATGGAAATGTCTTCTGCTCCCCTCTGTCTTCACTCTGGCCAGAGTAGCAAGCTTTGAGCCATAATCATTTTAATCTTTGTACTGTGTAGAGTGGTTTATGTATTTTGGCTGAGTTGTACACTGCTTGAGCTGTGAGGAGAGGTGGGTAATAATCAAAATTATTATTATTATTATTATTATTATTATTATTATTATTATTATTATATTCTGGGAGACCAATCAACAGGGTAACATGAACTCAGTAGCACTTTCCCAGTTTTACTCCCCAGCACCACGTACTGAAAAGCATCCTGCCTTGAATGCCAGAAGCAATATATGTGTGTGTGTGCGTATATATATATATTCATTCTTGGATATCGTATCAGCAGGAGAGAAAAAATGATTCAGAGTGGTGGGGAGGGGAGAGAAGTGTTAGGGAAAACTACCCTAAAATATAGCAGAGCATCCAAAAATCAAACAGGACACAAAAAGTTGAGCATCAGCTCATAGCTAGCAGAGCGTGATGTGCCATGTGATGTGGCTGCAAAGAATCCAGAGCTTAGGAGGCAAACATGCAGAGTCCAGTCTTAAAAAGTCACAAAAGATTTATTTACAATAATAAGAAATAACTGCATTTTTGATTAATCAAGAATTGTGTCTGAGCTACTTTAACACCCGTCTCTTCTAAGGTTTCAGGAGAGGGAAAAACTCAATCACACATCTCTCCTGGCACACAAGCAGAGAGAGATCTCAAAGCACACAGCACATACTCTCCATACTAAAGTGTAAGAAGACAGAAGTCAGATTCAAAAAGGCTTTGAGACTTGCGCAGTGTGGGGTTGAATCCCAACAAGTAGCAGCAATTCCTCTGGCCTGCTCCTGGTTGCAAGACCATACTTACTACTGCATCAGCCCTGGTGATGGTAGTATGCTGTTGGAGCTTCAAAAAAAGGCCCTGCTTGAAATCAAAGTATTCCCCTGCATGGTGATCAGTTGACATGGAAAGCTGGAGTTGAGAGAATCCTTTGCCCTACTGCAGTGACTTTTTACTTCAACAGCGCTATTACCATGCCAGGCATTAATCTTCCAACTGTGCTGTCGCACGCTGGGCCTAAAATAATGTCTGTTTACAGGATGTGCCTTCTGTATGCCCAATGGGACGCCGGGGTGCCTCAGCTGAAGGGCCCCTTAGATTTCCCAACACAAAATTCTATTGAGGCTCAAAATAAATTCAACAAAGTTCTTTATTTGGGCTTAAATCTTCAAACAAATGAATTAAACGCTTTATAACCTTAGAAAACTGGTAGCTTTCTCAATCTGCCAACAAGGGGCAGGCAACTGGTGGTAAACTGTTCCTTTCTTCCTTAGGGAAATCTTCTGACCCCTCCTTCGGCAATCTTTCTTTACCTTGTTGGCGTGAGGCCCCTACTCCCGGCTCCAAGCTACTTTATGGTTAGCCTGAGTGGTCCCTTACCAGACAAGATTTCTGTAGATCTGCCAAGCTGAACGGTGTCCTTTAGATTACTCCACGAAGGCTGTAGGAACTGTCCTGTTGCCCCAGCAAAGGCTAGCTGTATTCCCCCCAGCAAAAGCTGTGGAACTATTCCTTTACTCCCCCAGCAGAGCTGCGAGTAGTGAAGCCTTTGTGCAGGTGGGATAGAGAAACCCACACGTCCTGCTGTTAGGCTCCAAAAGGTGAGACTGAACAAAAGTCCTCCTTTGCCAACAAAACCCTGGGAAAAGGGCGGGTCTAAAGACTTTAACGATGATTGCCAGGTTGCTGGCCCTATGACTGCAACTTGGGGAAGCCACCTGATTGCAAAAAGCATGGCTTAAATAGATTCATACAAACTAGCAGTGCAAGAAAAAGAGGTTCAAATCTCCTGGCACTGCCGTTCCAGCACATCAACATTTCACTTACTGGCCTCCACTGCCTTTCCCCGCTGGCTCTGCAGTGCTCCAGGCCCAGTGGATGTGCCTCATCATCAGTTTATATTCCCTTTCACAGGTGGCAGGGCAGGCGAGAGAAACCCAGACCTTCCCCTGTGTGCTGCGCTGTCCGCTCACCCTGGCAGCACTCCAGAATATCTGAAGGAAGCCTTGGGCATGAAGAAGCCAAACCACACTCGCTTCTCCAGCAGTGGTGAGTTCAGCAAATGGGGAATGGAAACCCACTAATGAGAAACGAAAAAGGGGAGATGCAGATCAGAGTATTGTTTTCATGAAACTTCTGGCAGTTGCTGTTTTGTCGTGAAGCAACCTACAGAAAAAAGGAGGGACAAACATCCCTAAATGTAATAATCCTGACTCCAGAACCTCTGGGATACCTCTGCTTTAGCATAATAGTTAAAAGCTGGACTGTACACCAGAAATTTTGTGATAAGCAGCTTTAGGCCAATCATGTTTCACCCCTTCGTTTACATGCCTGCCTTAAGTGCAGGTTGCTACCTTATTATTATCATTATCGTTATTATACTATATTTATATCCCACCCTTCTCACCCCAGTGGGGGACTCAGGGTGTCTTACAATCCATGGCATACAATGCCGCATTACACATATAATAATAAACATAACATAGGAATTTAAACAATTAACATATCAATTTAAACATACAATAATAAACATGAGATAATTCGAATAGAAATACAATAACAAGCTTAGAAGTAATTCAAATAGAAATACAATAAAAAACTTAAAAGTAAACATACAATAATTCAAATATAAATACAAAAAAGAGCTTAAAAGTAAACATTGAATCCCAACCAAAGTGGGCTGATAAAAAAAGTGATCTGAAGCAACAGGAGAGGAACCCCGAAAACGAGCGCCCGCACATGTGTTCCAATGTCCAAATGATGGGCAGCGTGGCTATGGAGGCACACGGCGCATGTTTCTGGCAGCCGGGCAATGGGTGGCGCGGCCATTAAAGTTGCAGCACGGCGAGGTTGCGGGGGCCATGTTCTCTCCCTGCTGGGTCAGCTGCTGGAATGAGGGTGTGGCTGCAGGTCTCCTCGTGGGTAAGCCCAGGGCGGAGCAGGCAGCAAAGCTGGATGGCAATACTCAGGCCCCAGGGTCCCTCTTGCAGCAGAGCCCAACAAAGCCCAAGAAGCCCCATATAGTTTGGGTCCAGGATCACCTGCTGCTTTGCAGCCCTCGGTGGTGCAATGGGCTAAACCCTTGTGCCAACAGAACTGAAGACCAACAGGTCGGAGGTTCAAATCCGGTGAGAGCGTGGATGAGCTCCATCTATCAGCTCCACCTCCCCATGTGGGACATGAGAGAAACCTCCCACAAGGATGGTAAACATCAAAAACATCTGGGTATCCCCTGGGTGACGTCCTTGCAGACGGCCAATTCTCTCACACCAGAAGCGACTTGCAGTTTCTCAAGTCGCTCCTGCCACGAAAAAAAAATCTGCTGCTTTATAATCCATCTCATCCAGGAAGAGGCTGGCAACTGTGACTGAGAAGACAATGCTCACAGTTCCTTTTCTTTTCCCCTCAGGCTATATCCCTGGAACTCCAGGCTACAAAGAAAAGGAAGATATGTATGATGAAATTATTGAATTAAAGAAGGTAGACATGGGTATTTACATATTGTGCATGTCTGCGACCCTTTCACAAAATGGTTTTTTGAAGACTTGGTTGTCATCAAGGGGGGAAAAACATAGCTCAGCATTCCTGTTTGCAAAGCAATGATTGATAATATGCAGGAATAGCTTAGCTTAGGAAACAAAAAGTGATTTGCTTGACTCTATGGCAGGGATTCCCAACCTCCCTGATTCCATGACCCCTTAATACAGTTCCTCATGTGGTAGTGATTCCCAACCATAACAATATTTTTGTTGCTATTTCACAATTGTAATTTTACTACAGTTATGAATTGTAATGTAAATATCTGATATGAAAGATGTATTTTCATTCACTGGACCAAATTGGGTACAAATACCCGATACACCCAAATGGGTAGGGTTGTGGAGGAATTGATTTTGTAATTTGGTAGATGTAGTTGCTGGGATTTATAGTTCACCTACAAACAAAGAGCATTCTGAACTCCACCAGTGATAGAATTGAATCAAACTAGGCTCACAGAACTTCCACAATCAGCAGAAAATACTAGAAGGGTTTGTTGGGCATGGACCTTGAGTTTTGGAGTTGTAGTTCACTTACATCCAGAGAGCACTGTGGACTCAAAACAATGATAGATCTGGACCAAACTTGGCATGAGTACTCAATATGCCCAAATGTGAACACTAGTGGAGTTTGGGGAAAATAGACCTTGACATTTGGGAGTTGTAGTTGCTGTGATTTATAGTTCACCTACAATCAAAGAGCATTCTAAACCCCACCAATGAGAAAATTGGTCCAAACGTCCCACACAGAACCCTCATGACCAACAGAAAATACTGTATTTTCTGATGGTCTTTGTCGACCCCTCTGACCTCCTCGTGACCCCCCTCCTAGAAGTCCCGACCCCCAGGTTGAGAAATGCTGCTCTATGGCAGCATGTTCCAGGCTTGTCCTCCTTCCCTTTCCTGTTTACCCTGCACCTGGTACCTTGCCATTGTGTGTGGTTTGTGTAATGTTTCTGTTCCCATCTTTGTGTGTTGCATGGATACGAGGCTAATGATTCTACGGAATGATGAATAGTTATGAAGAAGAGTCAAAAGATAATTCATTTCTTCCTCTGCTGTTTAAGTCTTCCTCCTTAACCTTCCAATTTCTAATTATAGACACCCAGGATCTGGTAATGTACCTGAGGCTTAAAATTAAAGAAAAAACAAAATAAGAAACTGCAGATTTCTAATATATTGCAGTGGTGCCAAACTTGTAGCCCTCCAGGTGTTTTGCACTTCAGCTCCCACAATTCCTGGCCATTGGACAAGCTGGCCAGGGCTTCTGGGAGTTGGAGTCACAAAGTTCTGGAGGGTGACAAGTTTGACACCTCTCCATTTGAAAGATACAAGGGGTTGCTTGTGGAGAACAAGAAACATTTCTCTTGCTCCCTCCTTATTCCTCATTGCAGACTATACAAACCCAGAAAAATGAAGCAGATCGGATGAAAACAAAGCTCCGGCGACTGGAGGAGGAAACCAGCCGAAAAGACAAGCAGATTGAGCAGCTCCTGGATCCTTCCAGAGTAAGCCATGTACTAAGTAGAGTTAAGCAGCAATATCTAGATCTAGTCATCTGCTCCTCCCTTCTCTTAAAGAACTCGAAAGCAGGGTATTTCTAAGTCTTGCACTGCAGTTGGGAACTAGTTATCAAGATAAGCCTTGTTATTTGAGTGTTCATTTATTTGCATGCCGATACATTGATTTGTCCCGTCTTGTTTTTAAAGGGATCGGATTTCGCATGGCTACGGCCAGAGCTGAGGACTGATTCCAATTCGGTAATTGCTTTGCTTCATGCTGTCTTTTGGTCTCAGTATCTGTATGCTTGCTTGTTTAATTGAGATACCACCTATCTCTCAAAGTGAACCCACAAAAGAGGCACAGATTTTTAAAAGGCCGGCAGTTGTAATGTTAAAATACAACTATTTATTTGAGTTGTTGTAGGTTTTTTTTTTTTTTTGGGCTATATGGCCATGTTCTAGAGGCATTTTCTCCTGACGTTTCGCCTGCATCTATGGCAAGCATCCTCAGAGGTTGAGGTCTGTTGGAAGTAGGAAAAATGGGTTTATATATCTGTGGAATGACCAGGGTGGGACAAAGGACTCTTGTCTGTTAATCAAGGTGGTCAGTTGAAACATTCACACGTAGCTCCAGCAGACAAGAGTCCTTTGTCCCACCCTGGTCATTCCACAGATATATAAACCCTTTTTCCTAGTTCCAACAGACCTCACTACCTCTGAGGATGCTTGCCATAGATGCAGGCGAAACGTCAGGAGAAATGCCTCTAGAACATGGCCATATAGCCCGAAAAAACCTACAACAACCCATTGATTCCAGCCATGAAAGCCTTCGACAATACAACTATTTCTTTGCTTACTTACAATATTCATATTCCTCCCTTCTCACCCTGAAGGGGACTCAGGGGTGGATCACAGAACACACATATGGCAAGCATTCAGTGCCTTTATACACTGACAGGACATACACAGTACATAAGCTTTTCCCATTTTTGGCATCTTGGAGGTTGTGCTCGATTCCGGCCACACGAGGAGTGCTGTTGCTCCATCCATGATACCGAAGAGCCCTGTTCACAAACTTTCTCCTTTGATCGAATCGCCGGCATTTTTCTGGTGATTACTTATGGTACCATTAAAATATCTCCCCTCTTAACCCATTATGCAAAGTAAGCATTGAGGTATAGTTGATTTTGCCCAGGGGCGCTCTTGAGGCACCTCTGTAAATGCCCCAGTCGTGCTTGCACAGCAGTGGTTAGCCAAACTTCACACCGTGGCCTTGCTCCCAACTGAGAAGAAGCAGCAGCACAAAGAAGGGAGCCGCCATGTCACCGCCGCCTTCTCTGGGGGCCCAACTGGCCCCTCCTTCGCCTTGTCTTAGCCTCGGGAGGAGAAAGCGCTGCTGCCGGGAGACATGGTCCGCCGGGAGGAGGAGGAGGAGGGCAGCAGTGCTTCCTCCTCCTGAGGCAAAGGCGAGGTGGAGGAGGTGGCGGGGAAGGAGGGCGCTGGTTAGGTCCTCGGAGGAGGTGGCGGCAACATGGTGGCTCCCCTCTTCGTGCTGCTGCTGCTGATGCTACTTCTTCCTCCTCCTCCTCCTCCTCCTCCTCCTCCTCCTCCTCCTCCTCGCCACTGCCGCCAGGGCCTTCCTCGCCACCCTCAGCTCACCTCCCTTTGCTCCTGCTGCTTCTCTCCCTCTCTGGCTCCTTCTCGGAAAGGAGAAGGCAGCGATGGAGGGGAAAGGAGGGGAATATATTCCCCTTCCTTCCTTGCTATCACTGCCTTTTCCCTCCCAAGCAGGTCCAAAATACCCGGAGGGCCAAAATTTGTCCATGCTTATGTGTGTGTGTGTGATTGGTGTGGGGGGGGCGGGGTGCCAAAATACTGTTTACTTACCATCAGACCCGTAGCCAGGATTTCGTTTCGGGGGGGGGGGGGGCTGAATTTTTTTCGGGGGGGCTGAGTCTGAGTGAAAGAGTGTCTAGCCTAGCAAACCTTTTGTATCATTACCCCAATACCCCCATGCATATGGGATATATTGAGTATGGTGATCAGCTCATGATATGAATAAACATAACAGTTTAAATAATGCACCAGTAAGGCCTTTTCGCGAACCACCATGAGAATTTAGGGGGGGGGGGGCTGAAGCCCCTCAAGCCCCCCTCCTGGCTACATGCCTGCTTACCATTGAAAATTACCAAGGGCCACCTCTATTTATCTATTCACAGCTGTTTTCAATCTGCTAGGTGGGCAGTTTGCTGAGCTGAAGGTCAGATGCTCACACCCAACCTGGGCTTTGAAATGCCAACTTTTCTATTAGCAAGATTTATTGCAGCTAGTAGTTAACCTGCTGTGCTAAACCACACTTGAATTATAAAAATGTTTGGGTGTGTGTGTGTGTGTGTGTGTGTGTCAGGAGCAACTGCAAGTTGCTCCTGGTGTGAGAGAATTGGCCGTCTGCAAGGGGACGCCCGGATGATTTGGTGTTTCACCATCCTTGTGGGAGGCTTTTTTCATGTCCCTGCATGGGGAGCTGGAGCTGACTGAGGGAACTCATCCGCGCTCTCCCCGGATTCGAATCTCTGACCTGTCGGTCTTCAAGGGTTTAACCCACTGCGCCACCGGGATTGAAAGCCTAACATTAAAGAAAGTGCAGCATCCATCTTTTTTAAAAGCTCATTTTAAACTTATGTTTAAAGAAAGATCCTGTGTTGTTTCCTCTTGATAGGTCATCAGTGGATTGAAGCGAAAGATTCTCAAACTGGAACAGCAATGCAAGGAGAAAGACAAAACTATTCAGTATGTTGTGCTTTATTTACTGAAGTATTTCTACCTTCCTTTTTCATCCTTAAGGTTGCTTGTTGAAAAAACAGGACACTAAGCAGATAAAAAATTCAGAGTTGATAATGCCAAACCATTATTTATTCATTAATTTCTTCCTTCATTCATTTTATAGCCTGCCTTTCTACCAGTATGTGAGCTAAAGTGGTATAATTTGAGAGTGAGAATATTGCAGATTCTCAGGAGGATGGCAAAATAACAGCATCTTAGATTGCTGTGAGCTTTCTGGGCTGTGTGGCTATGTTCCCAAAGCATTTTTTCCTGACGTTTCGCCCACATCTATGTCAGGCATTCTCAGAGGTTGTGAAGTCTGTTGGAAATTAGGCAAGTGGGGTTTATATATCTGTGGAATTATGTCCAGGGAGGGAGAAATAACTATTGTCTCTTTGAGACGAGCGTGAATGTTGCAGTTGGCCACCTTCATTAGTATTGAATGGCCTTGCAGCTTCAAATTCTGGCTGGTTGCTGTCTGGGGGATTCTTTTCTGGGAGGTGTTAGCTGGCCCTGATGGTTTCCTGTCTGAAATTCCCCCATTTTTGAGTGTTGCTTGTGCTGGTCAGTGACCGTAATAAAGTTTTGTATTGTATTGAGTGTTGCTCTTTCTTTACTCTCCTGATTTTAGAGTTTTTCATACTGGTAGGCAGATTTTGTTCATTTTCATGGTCTCCTCCTTTCTGTTGAAATTGTCCTTGTGGTTATGGATTTCAGTGGCTTCTCTGTGTTGCCTGACATGGTGGTTGTGAGAGTGATCCAGCATTTCTGTGTTCTCCAATAATATGCTGTGTCCAGGTTGGTTCATCAGGTGCTCCGCTATGGCTGACTTCTCCATTTGAATTAAAGTGCAGTGCCTTTCATGCTCCTTGATTTGTGTTTGGGCTCTGTGTCAATCTTCTCCAAGCTTCTCCAGTATATTGAATTGCTCATGAGGGTTCTGTGAGCATTTCTGTGTTCTCCACCAAAGAAGTCAGCCATAGCAGAGCACCTGATGAGCCAACCTGAACACAGAATATTATGTGAGAACACAGAAATGCTGGACTACTCTCACAACCACCATGTCAGATGACACAGAGAAGCCATTGAAATCCACAAGAAGCATGTGGACAATGTCAACAGAAAGGAGGAAAGCATGAAAATGAACAAAATCTGCCTACCAGTATTAAAAAAAAACATCAGAATCAGGACAGTAAATAAAGAAGGGGAGTTACAGACAAGAAGCAGAGCTAGCTAACACCACTCAACAAGGATTCCCTCAGGCAGGAAGCAGCCAGGCTTTGAAGCTGCAAGGCCATTCAATGCTAATCAAGATGGTCAGTTGCTACATTCACACTTGCCTCAAGCAGACAAGAGTTCTTTCTCCCACCCTGGACATCATTCCACAGATATATAAACCCCACTTGCCTGCTTTCCAACAGACCTCACAACCATTGAGGATTCCTGCCATAGATGTGGGTGAAACGGCAGGAGAGAATGCTTTTGGAACATGGCCATACAACCTAGAAAATTCACAGCAACCCAGTGATTCTGGCCATGAAAGCCTTCAACAAAACAGCATCTTAATCTGCCTCCCAAAGGCAGAGAGGGAGGGATGTTCTGGGGTAAAGTGTTCCTTAGTATTAGAAGACCTTGTCTGGCCTAATAATATCTTCCTTTTTTGTTTTGTTTTGTTTTGTTTCTGCTGAAAAAAGCAAACTCCAAACAGATGTGAAGACCACAAATGTGGAGGAAATGAAAATTGCGCTGAAGAATTACTACGAGGAGGTATGTCTGTGTTAAAAGCTGGGATTACTGACAATACAAGTTTGAACAAATAATAATAATAATAATAATAATATGAAATCCAGCATATAGATCTTGTTTGCTGTGACAATAATAATAATAATAATAATAATAATAATAATAATAATAATAATAATAATAAAATTTCGGCCAGGGATATTTAGGTCTTGCTTTTTTCCACTTAGATGACCGTGCCACATATTGCATTCCTTTATTTTAATTTATTTAATTTAAACATCAGACACTTTTCCTCATCTGGGAAAGTTGTGAGGCCAAGAAAAAGCGCTCTTGCAAAGACCTTAAATTGGGGGCAATTCATACAAGAAGTTACCATTTAGATTCCCCTAGATTGGTAGTTCTTTAGTCTTTGCTTCTCCAAATTTTTTGGACAGTTGGCCAAGCTGGCTGGGGTTTCCGCAAGTTGGAGTCCCAAATGCCTTTCTATTCAAGCAGGCTTTTGAAGAAGAAAGTTTTAAAGACCAAGCCATGAAGAAGTCTTGCTGAGCAATGTTTTAATGATTTCAACATATTAATGGTTTTATATAGAATCATAGAATTGTTGAGTTGGAGGAGACCTCGTGGGCTATCCAATCAAACCCCATTCTGCCAAGAAGCAGGAAAATCACATTCAAAGCCCCCCCCCCCCCCCGACAGATGGCCACCCAGCCTCTCTTTAAAAGCCTCCAAAGAAGGAGCCTCCCAGTAGATGCGGGGAATGCCGTGGATGTAGCATACCTGGATTTCAGTAAGGCCTTCGACAAGGTCCCCCACGACCTTCTGGCAAACAAACTTGTCCAATGTGGGCTAGGCAAAACTACGGTGAGGTGGATCTGTAATTGGTTAAATTGACGAACCCAGAGGGTGCTCACCAATGCTTCCTCTTCATCCTGGAAAGAAGTGACGAGTGGAGTGCCATAAGCAGGGTTCCGTCCTAGGCCTGGTCCTGTTCAACATCATTATTAACGACTGAGATGAAGGGTTAGAAGGCAGGATCATCAAGTTTGCTGACGACACCAAATTGGGAGGGAGAGCCAATACTCCAGAGGACAGGAGCAGGATTCAAAACAATCTTGACAGATTAGAGAGATGATGGGCCAAAACTAACACAATGAAGTTCAACAGTGACAAATGCAAGATACTCCACTTTGCCAAGAAAAACAAAATGCAAAGATATAGAATGGGGGACGATGCCTGGCTCGAGAGCAGGACGTGTGAAAAAGATCTTGGAGTCCTCGTGGACAACAAGTTAAACATGAGCCAACAATGTGATGAGATGGCAAAAAAGGCCAATGGGATTTTGGCCTGCATCAATAGGAGCCTAGTGTCTAGATCTAGGGAAGTCATGCTACCCCTCTATTCTGCTTTGGTTAGACCACACCTGGAATATTGTGTCCACAAAGCAGTGTCAGGGCCACACTCCTGGAACACTCTTTTTTCCTTCTCTTGTGTTCCTTTCCCATTCCTTCAGTAAACGTTTGTATATTTATATCATAGTTTCCTTTTGTATTTGCTCCTTCCTGCTTCCCTGCTAATATTGCCTATCTCTTACAGAGCCATCGACTCCAGATCCTGCTGGCAAAATCAAAGGCTGTGCGACGAAAGTATGTTTATTACTTCGGGGCTCTATGTGTGTTTATAAGTGTCTGCGGTCTAATTTCTGTACTTCACTAATTGTTGTGAAGTCGGTGGATGTTAAAGGCTTTTGAAAAACTCACTAATTAGACATTGTTTGTGGATTCTTTCCTAGTTTTATATCTTATTGCAACATTCCATGTCATGCCTATTTTATTTCCATTTGAAATTTTCACTGCAGTTGGCATATTTTACCTCCCAAGACATTTCACCCATTCAGTTCCATGTGCTGTGGAAGGTATACTCACTAAAATGGTGACTTGTTAAAGAGCGTAGCACCCAGTTTAAAACTTAGTAAACAATTGAGCGGAAGAGGAATTAAGACTTAACATCCACTTGTGTAGAAAAAGCTCTACACAAATCAATGGGATTTACTTTGACGATGATGGTGAACTTCCATAGAAGTTCGCTCCCTCCCTGATCTCGTAAGCCGTATTGATCTTACTGCACCGTATTTTCAAGGTAGTGAAAATAAGCTCTAATTGAAGTACTTCAGACTACAGCTAAATGATCTGAACTCCAGCCACTTCGTTTCCCTTGGACTATGACCAATGACACATTCCTGGGAAATGTATATTTTGTGCCAAAGTCAAGTGGTAAACCAATAGATAACATTTAAAGTACTTTAGCAAAATTCTGACACATAATTCAATTTTTAAAAAATACATTTCTGTGCTCCCCCCTTTAGAATCCACTTACCTATATATAATCTATAGTTATGAGCCACTCCGAGTCCTTATGGAAGATGGTGGCGGGGTATAAATAAAGTATTATTATTATTATTATTATTATTATTATTATTATTATTATTATTATTAATGGCCTCCTCAGAGGTTCTATTGACAGCGAAGCAAGTGGAATGTGTGTTTGTATYTATATATATYTGTGTGTGTGRATATGTATACATATACAAATATCCATATATATATATACACACACACACACACACACACACACATATATATATACATACATATACCCATATATATCAAATCATCTGGGCGTCCCTTGGGCAACGTCCTTGCAGACAGCCAATTCTCTCACACCAGAAGCGACTTGCAGTTTCTCAAGTCACTCCAGACATGACAAAAAAGACCAACCACCCCCCCAATATATATTTGAGTATAAACTGACCTGAATATAAGTCAAGGCATCTAATTTTATCACAAAATACTGGGAAAACGTATTGACTCGAGTATAAGCCGAGGGTGGGAAATGCAGCAGCTAGTGGTAAATCTCAAAAATAGATACCAATAAAATTACATGAAATGAGGCACCAGGAGGTTAAATGTTTTTGCATATTTACACAAAACTGTAATTTAAGTTAAGACTGTCCAACTGTAATTAAACCCTCATTCTAACCTTCTTCAGTGTAAATATGCTTACGTATCCTTCCAATAATAATAGAGTAAAATAATAAATGTAATAAAAATAAAAATAATAGAGTAAAATAATGGAAATGTAATAATAACAGTAATAATAGAGTAAAATAATGAATGTAAAATAATAAATATAATAATAATAATAATAAATGTAGTAATAATAATAAAGTGGAAGTGTTTGACTTGTGATTTTTTGATATGAAATCAAGCATATAGATCTCGTTTGCTGTGACATACTGTGCTTTTGTGTCAGTAAAATAATAAATAGAGTAAAATAATAAATGTAATAATAATAAATAACAATAATAAATGTAATAATAAAAATAAATATAATAAATGTAGTAATAACAATAATACATAGAGAAATATAATAAATATAATAATAATAATAATAATAATAATAATAATAATAATAATAGAGTAAAATAAATGTAATAATAATAAATATCAATAATAAATAACTTTGAGCTTTATTTTCAGCTTAAAGAAAGGGCTGAAAAACTTATACTCGAGTATATACGGTATATGAAATGGCTGATTACACCATGTAACACAATTTTTGTTCCTGGGTTATAAATGTCATTTCCTAAAGACATGGGTAAAGTTTACTAAAATGCAAAAACTTTTTTGTTTTTACGGTCTGCACAAAAGGTTTAAAATAACATATTGAAAGGTTAAAAATGGCAGTTGCTGGAGTATAACTATGTTCAAAGTAAGTATTACACTGTTAACACTTTCATACCAAGAATGTTATCGAATTATTAGAAAAATCAATCCAAAAGCAAAACACACTATTTCGTTCCCTTTTTAAAAAAAAAAATCATTTGGTGAATTGCCATATTTCTCTGGTATGATCTTTTGGTAAATCCTAATGGGAGTGATGAATTCTCGTGGGACTTCCTCTACCTAGAAGAAGACTCTTTAACTCTAAAAAGTTAACCAGCTACTATAGACATCAGGCGAAAGATTCAGTGGAAGAAGAAAATGGAGGCAGTTCTGGCGGAGGAAGAAAGAGAGAGAAAAGGAGAGAGAGAGAGAGAGGACTGTGCAGTCAGAGGAAGTCTGGAGGATTGTGGAGCTCAAGGTAGTTTTGTGAAAATGTATAGTATAGTAAGATACAGTGATTTTATTTTGTTTAGTTCTGTTAACATGTATCTAAGGATTGAAATAGTAAAACTAGGCTCAGAATGGTGAGGTTTGCGCTAGGACGTGGATGTTGTGATTCTAATACCAAAAATTAAGTACAAAAACACTTATAGAACCTTCCTAATGCCACGACCCCTTAATACAATTCCTCATGTTGTGGTGACCCCCTACATAACATTATTTTTGTTGCTACTTCATAACTATAATTTTGCTGCTGTTATGAATTGTAATGTCAATATCTCATATGAAGGATGTATTTTCATTCACTGGACCAAATTTGGTGCAAATACCCAATACACCCAAATTTGAGTACTGGTGAGGTTGGGAGGGAGGATTGATTTTGTCATTTGGGAGTTGTAGTTGCTGGGATTTATAGTTCACCTGCAATCAAAGAGTTTTCTGAACTCCACCAGTGATGGAACTGAACCAAACTATTTTCGTTGCTACTTCGTAACTGAAATTTTGTTATGAATCGTCATGTAAATATCTGATATGAAGGGTGTATTTATATTCACGGGACCAAATTTATTTATTTATGTATTTATGACATTTATATGCCGCCCTTCTCACCCCGAAGGGGACTCACAAATACCTGATACGCCCAAATTTGAATTCTGGCAAGGTTGGGGGAGGGATTGATTTTATCATTTGGGAGTTGAAGTTGCTGGGATTTATAGTTCACCTACAATCAAAGAGCATTCCGAACTCCACTAATGATGAAACTGAACCAAACTTGCACTGAGAACTCCCATGACCATCAGAAAATACTAGAAGGGTTTTGTGGGCACTGACCTTGAGTTTTGGAGTTGTAGTCCACCTACATCTAGAGAGCACTGTGGACTCAAACAATGATGGATCTGGACCAAACTCTACACAAATACTTAATATGCCCAAATGTGAACACTGGTGGAATTTGGGGAAAATAGAATCTTGACATTTGGGAGTTGTAGTTGCTGGGATTTATAGTTCACCTACAATCAAAGAGCATTCCGTCCTGCCAACACAAGGGTTTAACCCATTGCACCACCAGGAGCTCCATTACTGGAGACTAACCGTGCTCAGCCACACGTTGCTGAGGCCCAGTCTGTGTATATGTGTTTTGTGTGTATGTATGTGTATATATGTGGTTTTGTGCATGCGTTGTAATGCATTTTTTATTTTATGGCCTTTTATGACCTTAGTTTGAGGACCCCTGATACAGATATTGAGTCCCCATGGGGAGAAAGGTTGGGATATAAATAAAGTAAATTAGGATGATGATCCTAGCTTGCTTTTCCATTTGAAGGCTATATTATTTCCATGTATTATTCCATGTCGTCCTTGTAATATCGTAATATTGTAGAGCGGGCATGAGCAAACTGGACCTTCAGGTGTTTTGGACTTCAACTCCCAGTAGGCTGTTAGGAATTGTGAGTGCTGAAGTCCACAACACCTAGAGGGATCATCTTCCACTGTGTTTTCAATTGTGGCTCTTACCTGTGTCTTCCCAAATTCTTTGCAGCTCTCCTGAGAGCTCAGAGCAAAAGGTGCTCAACACCACGATCCTGCAGTTTTCCAGGAGCATCAGGGAGTTACAAGAAGAGAATCGGAAACTGAAAGAAGATCTAGACCACATGTTGTGCAGTTCTCCTGCCCCCAGTAAAGCCAAAAGTAGGTTCCATGGGGAGACCCAGCATTTTGATTTATTGCGTGGAAATAGAAGTGAGTTGCAGAGCTGTAGCACTGACTTGTGCAGTAAGTGGCAGCTCAATCAGATGTCAAAACTTCTCAAGATAATCTGCCATTCCAATGTTTATAAGTTGCCTAAAGGGTTCTTGAAGCTCAGGGCTTTCTTTGCAGGGTATTTGTGTTTCCTGCAACCCACTTTCAGTCTGAAAAAAATCATTAAATTTTTCAGGTTACATGGAATGGAGCAAACAGAGGCTGGTTCGGCAGATTGCAAAGCTGGAGAAAGTGAGTAACAGAGACTGAATAGCTATCTTAGAGCTGGTGGGACAGAACTTGTTATAGTTCCCGAAAAATATTGTATCCTTTAGTTTGTGAGCCACATCCCCAAGCACAATTCAAAGTGCTGGTGTTGACCTATAAATCCCTAAATGACTCCGGCCCAGTTTACCTGTCCGAATGGATTCTCCCGTATGAACCATCAAGGTTGTTAAGATCTTCTGGAGGGGCCCTTCTCTCGGTCCCACCACCCTCGCAATTGCGTCTAGTGGGGATGAGGGACAGGGCCTTCTCGGTGGTGGCCCCTCAGCTCTGGAACTCTCTCCCACTGGAGATTAGAACTGCCCCTTCTCTTCTGACTTTTAGAAAGTTGGTGAAAACTTGGCTCTGGAATTTAGCATTTGATGAGTGAGTCAATAACTTTTGACCACACGGACGCATGGTGATGAATTGTGATTTCACTTTGACGACTTGGCCTTATGTAATTATATGATTGCTTTTTAATGTATTTTATATATTAGTGTGTTATGTGGTGTGATGTTTTAAACTATTGTTTATGAATCTTGTTGTAAACCGGAGGTCAAGAAGACTGGTATATAAAAGTTCTAAATAAATAAATAAATAAATAGTCCAGTGGTTCCCAACCTTTTTTTTTTTTTTACCAGTGACCACTTTGACTAGGGACCACTTGACCAGGGACCACTTTGACCAGGTACCACTCTCCAACATTAGTCCAAAAAGGATTTTGGACCAGTTTTTGGTCAACTTTAGATTTGGTTTGGTTATTTGGGGTGTTGATTCAGAAAACTGTATTGGACAGACCACATCAGCTCTAGTTTCTGATACAGAACATATGCCATCCAGAAAACCATACTTAATAAGCACTATAAGATGGTTTCACAAGACCAGTCGCTCTTGTTGCAATGGTGTAGTAATGGTGAGGCCGTGGACCATATTTTAATTCTTGCGGACCACTGGGAGTCCATGGACCACAGGTTGGGAACCACTGTCTTAATCTGTGACAAAGAGACCGAACCCAAAGGCTTCCTTCTTTTTTCTTTGCACTGTTGTGCTTCATGAGCATTACAGATTAGCATTTTCATACCAAAGCAAGGCTTCTTGTGTTTGCAAATCAGTAGGAAGAAGCTCTGAATGACCGCTGCTCATTTCCTCCTTGCAATTTTCAGAAAATAGATGGGCTGGAGAATGACAGGCTACAACGTCCACAAGTCAGTGCCTCACGTGTGCTCACCCCACCAGCTTCTGCTCACTTGGATCCATCTTTTGCTGAGGAATCCGATCCTCCAGAGAACTTTGATCATCTGCACAAGATAATAAAGAAATTGAAAAGCCAAAGAGTTGCCCTTCAGGATCAGCTGGCTCTTAAAGAGTTAAGTGCCTAGCGGATGTCCAATCAATACTATGTTGGCCTTATTAACAAAAGACCCTCCTCATAAATGTCCAGCAGAATAACTTATTAGCAGCAGTGTGACCTAGCACCAGTAGCACAAAGTGATAAAAAAAGGAAAACATACAGGGTGAGTGGGCTTATTAACAAAAGACCCTCCTCATATATGTACAGCAGAATAACTTATCAGTGACCCAGTACCAGTAGCCCAAAGTGATAAAAAGAACAAAAACACACAAACCAATGTTATATCTTCCTTAGAAGGGATTTCTTTATAGCAAAATAACATGGTTGCACTATTTACAAGAACAAGGTTTCCATGACACAAATAAAGTTCAACCTTCTCACTGGAGCTTCACACACGAAGCCTTCTCATACTGAGGCTTACCTCACACAGAGGCTTCTCTCACAGACTAAGGCCTGCCTCACACTGTGAGTCTTTCTCACAGATGGAGACCTTTCTCCCACTGAGGCAAACTAACACAGAGGCCTACTAAGTTACAGACACACCTGCTTATATAGAACTGCAGCTTTTGCTGAGTAATTGCATTAATTTAACCTTTTCAGTGCTTGACTCACATTTTTGTAATTAAAAATACCTAGTTAATTTTTAATTTTTTTGACATACTATGCTCTTTTATCCAAGTCTTGGAAGATAATGATGAAAAAAGTGAAAGAAATGTCTGAAAATCGCAAGTTTTCAAAACTCTAACAAAACTCTCAAATTTTCATTATAAATGGAAGTTCCTAATTGTTTCTGTCATAAAAATCACCAATAATGAAATAATAATTAAGTTTTGAAAGTTTTGTTAGAGTTCTGAAATTTTCACCACCAAAACTTTAGTTTTGTAAGTACTTTAGAACCATTTAGAACCATGGATTGCCCAGGCCTAGCAACTTAGTATGCCTCTGTGTTAACCTATGCATGTTTACAGACTTAGGCCTACCTCACACATTATAAATGGATGTTCCTAATTGGTTCAGTCATAAAAATCGGCAATAATGAAATAATAATTACATTTTGAAAGTTTTGTTAGAGTTCTGAAATTTTCACCACCAAAACTTTAGTTTTGTAAGTACTTTAGAACCATGGATTGCCCAGGCCTACATAGAACTGCAGCTTTTGCTGAGTAATTGCATTAATTTAACCTTTTCAGTACTTGACTCACATTTTTGTAATTAAAAATACCTAGTTAATTTTATTATTTCTGACATACTATGCTTGGAAGATAATGGTGGGAAAAAAGTGAAAGAAACTTCTGAAAACCTTGAACCCTATCCCAAGTTTACATATTCATGTGTTTTTGCCTATTCTGGATAATTTGAAAGAGAGATATACTCAATTCACATCTCAGAAAAAGTGCTCTTAGGGGCGGCTCATCCATTACGCAAAGTAAGCGGTTGCGGTACACTTTTTTTTGCCAGGGGCGCAGAGACGCCTCTGTAAATGCCTCTCGAACGCCACTTGAGGAGCATCCTCTCGGCTCACAGCAGCCCTAGCAGTTTGGGGGGAGCCTCGGCTTCCTTGCCTCACTTGCCGGGCAATCCTCTTCCCGAAGGGGCCGAGCCCGTGAGCCTCACCTAGCCCCTCTTGTTCCTGCTCCATATCAATGATTGGTTGAGGGGGGGGGGGCAAAATACTGTTTGCTTACCATTGAAAATTACCTAGGGCCGCCTCTGAGTGCTCTACATATGTCAAATATGTGCAAGAACCACTGGGTTATTGTTTTCCCCCTTCCAGAATGATTCTGAAACGACGAGCCCACAGAAAGCTTTCTCTTATGGTTAAACCAGTGTGTAGAAGGATCTACACCCTAGAATCCCATTATGACACTGTCAAGTATCTTGGGATACACCTCTCATGCCGTACTCAAAGTATGGCTGCACGGCATTCCTTGTGTTCCTTGAATTGTAGAGGTGACGCCGTAAATGAGTTTGAGCCAGAAAAGCCATACAAATACATTAATAATGATAATAAATTTTATTTATACCCCTCCACCATCTCACCGATGGGGACTCGGAGCGGCTTACATGAGGCCAAGCCCAAACAACAATTGCAATAAAGAAAAAAACCAAAACACAAACCGAAAACGCGAACAATAAACAATAACATCATAGTAACATAAAACATATGCATACATAACAATATAAAAATTACAATAAGCACAGACACAATAATAATGAACAGGCTACATGTAATGATTAAAAGACAAACTGATTAAAACTAATTAAAAACTCGGACGAGTTAAAGAAGAGAAGCAGTTAATTTGCAGAGGAGAACTCAATTATAAGGGGGGGGGGGTTGTGGAAGCAGACTTTCCCACGAGGTGGGGGGGGGGCGAATACTCCGATGACAGAACTTGAGGCTGAGCAATAATGTGAAATTGTGTACCTACATTGTTTCTTTGCATCTGTAGGAAAGAAATACAGAAGTTGAGAGAGGAAGTGAGAGAACTGGAGAAAAATGAAGAAATACATTCTAGACAGACTGGGACTGATGCCACAGAACCACCTGACCAGGTTGAAAATGACATTTTGATCCTATTTGGTACAGTATGTTTCCTAATATTGTCTAGCTTCTCTCAAAGTCCTCTGCTTGGGCTTTTTGGACTTTGCATGTTGTCTGGCTTTGGACTGGGATAGTTCCTTGGATGGCTTGTCTGCTTAAAGCCTTTCTCTAGCCAAGAATAGAATTGTATGTTTACCTCGATTGAAAGAGAATGCCTCCGAGACTCTCCCAGTAGGTGCCTGGAGGAGAATGATGTATAGCCTCGTATCAATTAAAGCAGGAGTAATGTCTATCTGAGGGGATCAATGGAGGCAGAACGCATCCTCCCCAAGGGAGATTTCTGTCCTCGCTTTCTCCCAGGCTAATTTTTTAATGGCAGAGAGCTTCACGCTGTTGAAGCGCACCTCTCTCCCCCACCTCTTTGCATTGAATCTTGTATGTTAGATCTGTGTCCAAATCCAGTTCTTGTTTTTTTTCTTCCCTTCTTCTGGACTGCTGCTTCTCCATGTGTGTTTTCCTCCATGTTCTGTTGACCAACAAACCGGAATTTCACCCTGAATACCAACAGTCACACTCAGTTTCTATGATACGCTTAAAGAAATTAAACTTTGTGTTTTCATCACCTTCCTCTGCGGAAAGTCACAGGGAAGAGCAAGCAGCTCAAGTCATCCAGAGGCAATGGAAGGCCTATAAAGCCAAGGTGATGCTTTTAAAGTATTTTTATTATTATTTTATTAATAATATTATATTTTATTTATTATTCACTAGCTGTCCCCTGCTACACATTGCTGTGGCCCACATGGGGGTTCTGTGTGGGAGGTTTGGCCCAGTTCTATCGTTGGTGGGGTTCAGAATGCTCTGTGATTGTAGGTGAACTATAAATCCCAGCAACTACAACTCCCAAATGTCAAGATTCTATTTTCCCCCAAACTCCACCAGTGTTCACATTAGGGCATATTGAGTATCCGTGTGGAGTTTGGTTCAGATCCATCATTGTTTGAGTCCACAGTGATCTCTGGATGCAGGTGAACTATAACTCCAAAACCAAAGGACACCGCCCACAAAACCCTTCCAGTATTTTCTGTTGGTCATGGGAGTTTGTGTGCCAAGTTTGGTTCAATTCCATCGTTGGTGGGGTTCAGAATGCTCTTTGATTGTAGGTGAACTATAAATCCCAGCAACTACAACTCCCAAATGACAAAATCAATTTTTTTGAGTGAAGGACGTACATTGGCTTGTTAGGTGTCTAGTGTCCAAATTTGGTGTCAATTCATCCAGTGGTTTTTGAGTTCTGTTAATCCCACAAACGAACATTACATTGTATTGTCGAAGGCTTTCATGGCCGGAATCACTGGGTTGTTGTAGCTTTTTTCGGGCTATATGGCCATGGTCTAGACCAATGGTTCTCAACCTGGGGTCCCCAGATATTTTTGGCCTCCAACTCCCAGAAATCCTAACAGCTGGTAAACTAGCTGGGATTTCTGGGAGTTGTAGGCCAAAAACATCTGTGGACCCCAGGTTGAGAACCACTGGTCTAGAGGCATTCTCTCCTGACATTTTGCCTGCATCTATGGCAAGCATCTACCTCTGAGGATGCTTGCCATAGATGCAGGTGAAATGTCAGGAGAGAATGCCTCGACCATGGCCATATAGCCCGAAAAAACCTACAACAACCCGAACATTACATTTTTATTTATATAGATTAATTAATATTATTTTATTATTAATATTATTTTAGTATTATTAGTAGGACTTTATGCATGGAGCCTCCGGTAGCACAATGGGTTAAACCCTTGTGCCGACAGGACTGCTGACCAAAAGGTTGGTGGTTCGAATCCAGGGAGCGAAGTGAGCTCCCATCCGTCATCTGCAGTTCCCCATGCGGGAAGGTAAGGCACTCCCTGCAGTCATGCTGGCCAGATGACCTTGGAGGTGTCTATGGACAATGCCGGCTCTTCATCTTAGAAATACAGATGAGCCCCACCCTCAGAGTCGGACATGACTAGACTTAATGTCAAGGGAAAACCTTTACCTTACTACGTTTAAATTATTTTGTTGCTATGGTGTTCATTTTTGAAAAGCCTACTTTAGAAACAATTGATTTCAAAATCAAGATTTAAATAATTATAAGAATATAAACTGACTATAATTATATAAAAAAAAAAAACTGTAATCGCTGTGTGGGCCTCCCATACTTTATTTCTGAGTTTCCAATAGTGGCATATGCCAAATGGAAGAGGGGTTATGTGATGCAAGAAGAAATGAGCAAGCTTGGTTCCTAGGAACAGGAAAATGCATATTTGTAACCTATAGCTTTTTCATTTCAGATTGAAGGGGATGCACTGGATAAGGTGGGTATGCACAAACTACTGCTGAGATTAAATCTTTCTTTACCATTTAACTTTAAAAAGTCACATGATATTGTCTGAACAAAAATATTGCAAATGCGAAGAGCCCAGACTCTTTTGAAGCTGATGTTTGCTGAATCTGGGGTGACAATCCCCATTAGGATTTGATATGAAATGTCATATACCATTTTTGTTGGGGAATCTGAGCTGTTAGGCTCAAAGATAACCCTCAGTTGGGGCAATGCCACTATAAATATAGCAGAGTACCAGCAGAAATGTAGGTAGGGTGAACTGGGATAGCCTTCTATATCTTAAGATGGACCAGGATTTCAAAATCAGAACTTTAGTTTCAAAAAATCTATATTGAAATAAAAGAAATACATTATTGATAGAAAAGGGCTTGGAGCTAACTAGCTTACTAAATCTCATCTTCCAAAGGAGATAAAAGTAAAAAGATCAATGCAGCTACATTTTGCCTAGAGAGAGGCAAAATGTGTCCTTATTGGAAGGAAGAAAAGGCAGAAGAGTCTGAAAAAGGGTGGAGAGACCAGATCACATGGTCAATCCAGGGCAATAAAACTGAAAGAGAAAGTTCCCTCACAGGATTTCATTACTACATCAACAAAGGGGGAGGAGACAGTGGCTAGCAATGAAGAGGAAAGACATAATCCTTTAGGGAAACTTGCATAGGAATGTGGGGGAAGGAAGCCCTCAGCTTAGCCTGGTCTCTAGCCTAGCTACTCATTGAGGACTGGAAACTTGATGACACAAGAGACTTGTGCAGTCAATGGAGGAAACTCAACAATCTGTAGTGTTTTCATTTCTTTATTTTACTAAAACAAGAATGTTGGTGTTTGTTTTGCCAAAACACAGTCCTGATTCAATCCAATTACCGAACTTCCAACTGACGAAACTGTCTAAAGTTCCAAACAGCGTCCACAGGCTTTTGGAGCACGGGATCCAAGACTTGGTTTCAAATGTTGCAAGCAACAATCAGGCAGAGCCTTAAATGCTGCTTTCACAGCTAATCTCGATTGTTGGCCATCCTCTCAGCGATTCTGACTGAATGCCCCAGTTGAGATTTTTCTCCTCTATGTCCCAGAAAGGAAGGCACAATCAAAGGAAGGCACAACCCTTCCTCAGCCTGCTCCACCCAAACCTCTTGTGTTTGGCCAACAGGCTGAGTAGCTGTTGCTTCTGGATGTGGCTGAGGGAGTTGCTGTTGTTGGCTATGTTCTAGTTCCACAGCCAACCCCTCATCCATGCTCTCCATGATATTTCCAGCTGTGGGCATGTGTTTGCAAAATAGTCTCCCTGTTTGGCACATTTGAACATAATAATAATAATAATAATAATAATAATAATAATAATAATCGCACTGGGTGCTGTGCCAAAAGATCTCAGCTGGCATTTGGAAACAATAAACATCGACAAAATCATGATCTGTCAACTGCAAAATCAGATCACCCATCTGTCAGGGGTGATTTGAATGCAGTATTCCTGCTTCTTGGCAGGAGGTTGGACTGGATGGCCCATGAGGTCTCTTCCAACTCTATGATTCTATGAAAAGGCCACCTTACTTGGATCTGTGCGCATCATTCGAAAATACATCTCACAGTCCTAGACGCTTGGGAAGTGTTCGACTTGTGATTTTGTTATACGAAATCCAGCATATAGGTCTTGTTTGCTGTGACATACTGTGTTTTTGTGTCAATAATAATAAATATTATTATTATTATTAATAATGAAGAGAAACAACTGGAAAAGCTGACACGATATAAGGATTTAAAGATTGAACTGCAAAGACTCTGGCACAAGGCAGTCAAGGTGGTCCCAGTGATGATCGGCACACTGGGTGCAGTGCCTAAAGACCTTGGCCTGCACTTAAACAAAATCAGCGCTGAAAAAATTACCAGCTGCAAAAGGCCACCCTACTGGGATCTGCACGCATTATTCGCTGATACATCACACAGTCCTAGACACTTGGGAAGTGTCCAACGTGTGATCCAATACAACAGCCAGCAGAGTGATCTTGTCTGCTGTGGACTCATCTTGTGTTTCAAATAATAACAACAACAACAACAACAACAACAACAATAAAAATAATATTTTATTGATACTGGGTTGTTGTAGGTTTTTTCGGGCTATATGGTCATGGTCTAGAGGCATTCTCTCCTGACGTTTCGCCTGCATCTATGGCAAGCATCCTCAGAGGTAGTGAGGTCTGTTGGAACTAGGAAAAAGGGTTTATATATCTGTGGAATGACCAGGGTGGGACAAAGGACTCTTGTCTGCTGGAGCTAGGTGTGAATGTTTCAACTGACCACCTTGATTAGCATATAATGGCCTGACAGTGCCTAGAGCAAAATCTGGCTACCAGTGTTAAAAAACTCTAAAATTACAACAGCACAACAACAGAGAGGAAACAAACAAGGACATCTAATCACCTCTCAACAAAAGTTTGCTCTAGGCACTGTCAGGCCATTATATGCTAATCAAGGTGGTCAGTTGAAACATTCACACCAACTCCAGCAGACAAGAGTCCTTTGTCCCACCCTGGTCATTCCACAGATATATAAACCCTTTTTCCTAGTTCCAACAGACCTCACTACCTCTGAGGATGCTTGCCATAGATGCAGGCGAAACGTCAGGAGAGAATGCCTCTAGACCATGGCCATATAGCTCGAAAAAAACCTACAACAACCCAGTGATTCCTGCCATGAAAGCCTTCGACAATACACTTTATTGATATACCACTGTATCTCCCCAAGAGGACTCAGGGCGGTTTCCAAGTAACAAACATCAAAAACATGCAGGATAAATAACATAAGCATAGAACTATCAAAACGACATAAGCATACAATTATCAAAATGACACACATATATATTAAAAGCAATCCTGCCAGTTCTTCATACATACTGTTAGGGCCAAGATTTCAGAAATTAGGCAATTAGGACCTAGGAAATTAAGGCTAGGGCCTAGGTTCTGAAAGTATATCTTAGCGTGGTGTCTGCGTACTGGTAGGTTTTGCTTATTGTTCTTCCCCAGGTCTGTCTTCAGTCACAGATCAGTTTCCACCTTTTCTCTTGAATGGCAGGACAGTGCGGATGTCACAAGAGAAATAGTCCTTTTCTGGCATCCCCTGCTGTCCCCTTGGGCTCTGCATTCATTTGTAGCTGTCATCTTTCAAGGGAGAATTTCCATTGATTTCATTCCTCTTTGTATTAGGTGGCTGTTGTACTCCAGGCAGCATTCAGGGGACATTTAGCTCGACAGAAGCAATTATCACGTTACGCACAAGGTCAAAATCCTCATCACAAACGCAGCACTGAGAATGAGGTAACTATCGGA